TCCAACCAATATAGTTGTATCCAGACATGCCAATCAGACATCATTAATGAGAATATAAAGGAATAAATTAAAATTCGGACCGCAATTTTTTCACTTTCCCTGATGGCAGTTTTCCTTATGTATGGTATGAAAATCCTTACTTGTCCTCAGGACAAATCAAGTAGATGAATTCGATAGAAAAGATCTGAGGTTGTAGATCAGGGCTCACGGGAGACATCTACCGTCGAAGCTGTGCACCTGACTGAAGGCGACAGAGAGCACTGAAGATGCCTAAAGACATCCCTAAGATGTCCCTAAGACATCCTCCTCAAGATATCGAAAAGCGTTCGACTGAAGATATCTTCAAGATACCCCCTCCAGGATATCCAGAAGCATTCGACTAAGGATGTCTTAAAGATATCCCGAAAGGGATATCTCTAAGATATCGACTGAAGATGTCTAAAAGACGTCCCAAAGACATCCCTTGTGAGATGTCCGAAACCGTCCGAAAGAAGATGTCTTCAGGATATCCTATAAAGACACGGGGACAAGTCGTCCAGTTAGGGACATCCCTGGGATATCCCTGTGCTGTGTGGGTAGGACATGTTAAACAGGACGGGATCCCTTATAGGCAGATATTCATTGTGAGGAGGTTCGCTATTGGGAGGTACTGGAAGGCATGCCTGACACGATGTATATGATGAGGATGAGTTATGCTGGCGTCTTCATGTTTGTAACTGTTGGAAATTATGGAATTAGCTGTCAGGACACTGGATCCGGAGAAAGGGTTGTGAGATTCTTAAGATGAAGTAATCTTGGTTTTTCGAAGTTTTCCTTATTTCTTTTGTGGGCGAGGCCGCCGAATGGGACTACGTGTTCTCCGTGTATGTAAAAGGGCCCTATTATATATGTACTGACTCCAATTAGATAAGTACCGGTGAGATTCGGAAGGACTAGGCTGGTCAGCAACAATAACAATGGATATATTGAATGTATACCACTCACTCGTATAGTCTACAGGCACCAGGCAGGAGGGAAGTTGATACGTCAAGGGCGACGGGAATAATTTACAGGTCCCTATACAATCCCGACATACAATACACACCGTTGTACAATGTCACACGATCACATCCACACTCTCACTGTCCACCATCTAGTCTCGCCTCCACCCCCTTGTCCCGGTCCGGGGAGGTCTCTTGTAGGTGGGAGGTGTCCGGTAGGGGGTGGCTCCTCCTCCACTCCTCGGTGAGGTCCGCCGCTAAGCCCACACTTTCCAAAATGCATAACTCCCCGTATGGATAAAATAATACAACACAAATGGGTTGATTTTTAAGGGCAATGGATGGGTTAGTGTGGAATTGGTTGTAAACCGATGAGAATGGTTCCTTCAGCATCCTGCATCAAGTCTCTGGGTACAACACCCTGGTCCCACAGGAACGTCCCCATTGCATGAAGGGCCCCATTGCATGAAGTTCACATCACGGATGGCTTCTGAGCCTGTTGCATGGTGGGGAAGTTAGTGATGAGGTCAACGGTTGGGCAGTGTATTTTCTACATGCTTCAGCAGACAACTTCAAATGAGACTGACGAGCGCTGCATAGCAATATTCATCTCAGATAGCAAAGTTGTGTTGAGTCTACGTTTGTCCAATGTAATTTGTCGACCTGGAATACGTGCAAGCACCCTACATCGCATGCCCACTTTCCACCGATATTGGACCAATGTTGTCAGGTCACCAGGTCTCCACATTCAACCAACCTTTGTCAACCTTCAGGCAATGCAGCCACAATGTTTCTTGCCCTCCGGGTTTCTTATGCCAGCTTAGAGAAGCAGCTCCTTCTAAGTACAGACTTAACCTTGCATGTGCATCGCATGCTCGTGACTTCCAGGAGAGCGCCAACCGAAGTTTTTCACATCCCACACAGCACAGGGATATCCCAGGGATGTCCCTAACTGGACGACTTGTCCCCATGTCTTTATAGGATATCCTGAAGACATCTTCTTTCGGACGGTTTCGGACATCTCGTTAGGGATGTCTACGGGACATCTTCAGGACATCTTCAGTCGATGTCTTAGAGATATCCCTTTCGGGATATCGTTAAGACATCCTTACTCGAATGCTTTTGGATATCCCGCAACGGATATCTTTAAGTCATCTCACAGTTATGGGTACCCAGCACAGCACTGAGATAAATTTCAGAAAAGTTCCTTATGGAACTCAGTACTCAGAAGAAATGTCTTTTCACCCCGGGCTATTATCAATAATACATCTTATCAAGGAAAGCAGCGCTCTCCCCGAGTTTGAGTGGATGGCTGCCACCCTAGCGCCGATATGGGCCTACGCTCCCCCATTAGCAGCCAAAGTGGGCCCAACGTTGCGTGCATGTAATTTTTTTCATTCTCAAGAAACAGATCTGCTAGTCCTCCATATATTGAAAGAGGCTATGAAAGTGAAATATTTTCTAACCGCCAATTCCTATCCCACACAGCACAGGGATATCCCAGGGATGTCCCTAACTGGACGACTTGTCCCCATGTCTTTATAGGATATCCTGAAGACATCTTCTTTCAGACGGTTTCGGACATCTCATAAGGGATGTCTTCGGGACGTCTTTTAGACATCTTCAGTCGATATCTTAGAGATATCCCTTTCGGGATATCTTTAACACATCCTTAATCGAATGCTTCTGGATATCCTGGAGACCCTTGTCCCGGTCCGGGGGAGGTCTCTTGGAGGTGGGAGGTGTCCGGTAGGGGGTGGCTCCTCCTCCACTCCTCGGTGAGGTCCGCCGCTAAGCCCACATTGCCATGGGAAAAGTTCCAGCGGTAACCTAATAAAAAAGTTCAAAAGTAGAACTCTGAAACTTTTAGACCAGAGCCCATTTTCCCTCGACCCTTCGCAACAGCTGAATATTAATCCATGTGCTTTGACTGAACTCTACGATGGATTAGAGTAGGTGGAGTGTGTTCCCGATCGTCAGAAACATATGGGATATGTATTCGGATGACTATGTAGAGCGGATTAAATATGAATCATGGAGCCTTTTTCCTCCTAGAAATTTCAGGGAAATCCGATCGCATAGATGCCCCGCAAGTTGAAGTGATGCATGAGGATCCCTTTGCAACTACCAGCCCAGCAGCCTCTGAACCAAGAAGCCTCAGAGAATTCCTGAAATGGTTTACAACTGCTAGGAAATGATTAAAGTAGATCAACCAATTCAGAAGTTGCTAACGTACTTTTACTTCCTTTAAAGTTTACGATCTGGTTTATTTATTTTTCTTCATATTTTGACGAAGACAAGAAGTTTTCATGAAATGCTTAACATTCTGTGAGTTTGTGAAGTTCTAGCCCTTTGAAGTATAGCATCCAATGCATCAAGTGTAGTACTGGAAACTAAGAAACTTGTAAATATTCATCTGGAAATACTTATAAAAGATAAACTTAAGATATTATATTGTGAAAAGTAGCCAGAGTTGAAAAATTATTATTACCATTAGTAAAACTCGCAGTGTCCTTTTTTAAAGCTTTAGACTAACAGTACGAACAGGACCTGTAAATGTGACGCGTTAAAAAGATTCCCGATTGTAGAGACTGTCAAACTGATTGTGTATCCACGGTGTGGCCGCTCGAGCCAAATTTCGTCGACGGACGAGAATCCAATTAGCCGATGTTACCACCTCAGCGCCTGGTGCCAGCTCGCACAGAGCGGCCCTTAAACTTTGGCCATATTTTGAAGCTGAAAGCTTGACTCTGAATATTTTACGTAAAAATATATTGAAATGAATGAATCTTTAAATCATTAAATTATTTTTAAAATGAAGCATTTAAGAATTCTTCATTTTAAAAATAACTCATGATTTAAAGATTCTGACTAATTTTTTAAAATAAAAATAAATGGGCGATCCGTTCACCCTTAGTATAGCAATTCGGATCGTTTCGCTGTGCTACTCGAATTGCTGCAGGAGTCGAGAGACGAATGAGATGAGAGTTTCACTCCCCGGTCAAAAATTGTTCGTCGGACCACCGATGGCTTTTCGTCGACGCGTATATGAGCCTTCACTGGCATATGGTTGGCTTAAGCCGGCTTATGGCCGTGCACGTCCTGTTCGCCCTTCATTGGGCCAACTTCACTCATTAGGAAACCGCACATGCCCCAACCATAACCTGACTTTTCACAAGGGTGAAAAGATATAAGAAAAAAACCCACATGAACTGAATCTTCAGCGTTATGCATCCTTCGGCCCGCTACTGCCCCTTCATCTGGGAGAGGTGAAGGATATCTGTCCTCCCGCAGGAGGCCAAGCACGCCATACAGGTAATAAAACTTTCAATGTCTATAGACATGGGGGAGGAAGGTCGCGTACGGTGGAAAGTGGAAGGATCCTCCCACGGACCTTCGGGCCAGAATTTCCTGGTTTATTCCAGGGCTAGGTTACATCTTCAGAGAAATATATCGAGGAATTCAATTGTCTTCCTCTGAGATCTATGTAAGAAACCATAGGGAACTGTGTTAAAGGGACAGGGGACTCATTTCAGCAGAATCCGAGAAGTGACTCCCTACTACGACCGCTTTGGCTCCATCTCACACCGGTTTTCGGAACCTTCTCAGCCACATTGGCTGGAAAATGAGCCAACTTCCCCAGCTATGACCCGACGATAAACCAACGACAATTTTTTTACTGAGTCTGGGCCATTTGCTCGAGTAAATAGGGAATTAGACGAAATTTCTCCAGGTCCAAACTTCCGTTCCAGAGTCTGCTGTCTGGGTTCTCTGTCTGAATGGGGTGAAACCCAGACACATGGCTCAGTCTTAACTCGGGGAAGGTGCAAAGCTGACACATCGCCAGCTGTGCCATACTTCCTTTCTTTCATCAGCCACTGCTTGGTCATTTCGGCCATGCAGGTTTACTGAATTATAGTAATACTTAAGATTCGATCGGAAATAGATATATTAGGTGACCTGAATGGTCGCATAATATTAATGCCTGTGCGGCACCGCCACTTCGCTGCCGCCTGCCGTGCGTGCGTGGATGTAAAAAACAAGCAACAGCGCTGCCTCCACCCCTTTTTTTTTTGTCCTTCACCTAGAAGCCTCTGTCTCTCACTCACTGTCAGTGCCCGCTGCAAGCTCCCTGCCTCTGTTTTTCACATGGATCTGTTGCAGTGGTGTAAAATCTCAAATACATTTGGTGTGTGTATTTCACTGGTGTTTCCTTGCTGAGGAAAGAGGACGACAATGGTGTCAGAAGTGGGATGCCAATGCGCCGATTTGTTCACCGCGCATCAATGCTAGAGACCAGCGCCCGAAGGCCAGACGACCCCCTCTTCATCCGCCGTCGCCCTTGTCGAGGGAAAGTAAGCCCGCAGCTACGGCTTCCATCACTCTCCAAGCGGTTCGAGGAGTACTCACCGTATTACAACCTGGTGCTCGGGGATACGGTTCCTCCCCTGTTAAAACTGCATCTGATCATCGGCTCTTCAGCGTCATCATCAAGCATACACCCTACACTCTTCAAATCGTCACAGTGGCCCCCCCGTCACAGGCCCCGGACCCCTGCCAAAGCCAAGAAGACGACAGCGGCTACTCAGGGGTTTCATGCATTTACCCTGAGTTATAAGCCCGCTCAAACGTGGGCCCCGGTGCTTGGTATTTTTGCATTTTGCCTTGCACAAACCCTAGAAGACGGATCCAACCGCGGTCTCGCTGATGATCATTGGTCTGCAACGATGCTTCCACCGCAAACCAATGCTCTCTGTCGTGCAACGTGCAACCAGCCTGGGATGTCATCGGAGGTGGTCTGCAATGATGTGGGACTGTCCTGTGAACTTATGCATCAACGCCTGCTCTTCAACGGCAGACAACTTCAGGACAACGTGCTGCTGGCGAACTATGGCATTCAGAAAGAGTCCACTCTCCACTTGGTTTTGCGCCTCCGTGGTGGAACTTTGTCTGATGATGAAGAACAAAAACCAGCACCTGTCAAGCGCGCAACAGTCAAGTTGCCACCATACTGGCCTAAATCCAAAGCCGCTCCCTCTTCAGTCGAGTTAACGGCTGCAAATGAGACCAAAATCAAAGTTTATGGCGGTATTACAACGACTGTCACGTTTCCTCAGCTTCGTCGCAGTTTCGAGGTTGAATTCACAGTTGCAGATGTCCGAGAACCGATCCTAGGAGCCGATTTCTTCAAACGCAATCCACTGCTCATCGATGTCTCGCGCAGATGTCTTGTTGATTCAGAAACCCATCTCAACCCAATTACAACGCCCTTGTGATCAGGTCAACAGGAAGAAGCTCTGAAGCTGAAATTGGAGCTCTAAAATTGACAGTGAAGTCAGCGTTAAGCATTTGAGGTGAAAAATCGGTGAGTTTTAGTGACGCGAATCGTGAATCGGCAAGCTGACACCTCTCTATCGAAACCCCTTGTGCTAGTTATGGTACTCCTTCGGCTCGTCCTGGCCATTAGAATGTGCAGTTAACATTGACTAGGCAAGCTAGAGGACTCTCACGGTGTCTGACCGACGGATAAGCCTCCTCCCCTTATTAATCCGAGAGAACCGCATTGCAGCCACATATTGAGTTTAAAATACTAGATGCATTCCAAATCACCCAATTATCAGCGTTCCTGCACCACCTTTCCATCTATCTGAGGCACAGACTCTTCGGAAGTGCTATAACCAATAATACATAATCTCATGAATTTTTTCATCGCACTCCTTTCTTTCACTTCTAGAGATGGGGAACTGACGGAACAGGAGATCGAGGTGAGGGAGATTCACATTCCTTCATTTTCCGGTTGCGTGCGCTCGACTATCAAAAGCCGATTCTGTTATTTAGAGGAAGTTTCAAACCCTGTCTCTGGCCTTCAAAACGGACAGATTGACTTTGGATCAACGATTGGACGTCCAAGAACGTCGAAGGATTTTGGCTGAAGAAAGTATCGAGAAAGAGTTGGATTCCCTCCGCCAGATGCTCCAGGTTCTCGTTTCTATCTAAATACGATCGTAAGACGTATTTTCCTCTGAGGGACAAAAATAAACTCATATCCTCCCGTGGTTTTATCAGAGAGTTTTGCCTTTGGTGGGGGAATCATTGTCACCCGAAACGGTTGCAGGGATCCAGCATCAGTTCCGGGTGATTCAAAGTGCAGCCCTTCGTATTTCCAGGACTGCCGAGGTACCATTCCTTTGCCTCACTTTGACAGCATTGTATTGCAATTAGAGAACCCTTGAAACTTGTAAGCGATTACGAGATTTCGTATCTCCCTTCTCAACGGGAAGAAGAATTAGGAGACTCGACAATGGGAATTTCCTATTGTTGTGGCGACATAACGGTGCCTCAGCGATTAAAAGTTGTGAAACGGGCAAAATTCCTTGTCAGTATATGTGATTATCCATCTTGGCTGAAATAATCATATAATGCTGGTCATCCTCGTATGTTGGAATGATATTGTAAATGGATAAATGTTCCTCCGAGTAGCAAAAGTACATTTATTTAGTACTTACAAACTGATCATATACTGATGATATAAACTGAGATCTGAGTTACTAACTGATCATATAAAAATTTCGAGATGCGGTTCTGATAATTTGTTTGACAATCTGATTTTCTGGCCTAGGATCAAAAAAGGTCATGAAAAGCTGCAAGCATCTGAGAAGATGCACATCTTTCGATTTGTTATTTTTTTTGTGATTATCATAAATCAGCTTGTCCATTTGCGGTATTTTTCTTTAGATCATTGTGGTTTTCCTTTGCTCATATCGAAAATGAAAATTTTGGGATGATCACCGAGCATTTTAGACCGTTATTTGCTGCAAAGATATTCATTCAACGAATAGGCGACAGACTCGTCATTCAGATATTTGAACAGTGCAAAATTACGTCATATAAAATAACACACTTTTGTAACGCCCAACCTGAAAGCTTATGCATCCCATTTACAGATAGATGCACGAATCAACCTCTGAAAGGGCAGCATAAAGTCTCCATTGACCTCTCTCTTTCGTGAAGGCATTCGGGCAGATGGAAGAAGAGAAGAGAGTAAGTCGTTCCGTGGATGTCATGGTGACTCACGTGGAGACTCTCAAGAATATGTACGAACGGGAACACAGCGAGCTCCAGGAAGCCAGGTTTTCCTTTACGCATTCCATAATGGTCTGAATGACTGAGTGCATTTTTACAGAGCTATGTGCAGGGTGTAACAAATGTCAGGAATCATAGGGAAATAACATGGGGATCTTTTCCAGCCTGGTTGTCTGAAACTCACGAGCTAATCTGAGTTGATTCTGAAACTCCTTAGTTCCCTTAATATCAAAATCTGGTACAAATGGCCCAGAGTGATACAGAGTGACCCATGCTGACTCAAAGTGGCTTAAACTATCCGATTGACCCATCTTGGGCCTAATTATTCAAGTGTGATACAAGTATGCTAAAATTGAAATGGAGTGACTAAATTTAACCACTTACCATTTTTTTGCAATCAATTGAACCAAATAGGTCAATTTTTTTAATTGCAGATTTTGATTCTATAGACTTTGTTTTAACAAAATATGTACGTGTAATATATTTTATTCATTTATTTGGGCAAATCAAGAACGAAACAACGAAACACGAGTCGCCCGTGTCTCATGCGGGCAAGTCAGTTTTGGGAAGGACAACGTCACCGCATCAGAGACGGGCTAATCACGGAAGCGGTTAACCTAGGTGGCACATAGGGACCCATGATGACCCATTGTGAGCCATGGTGACCCGTATGATTCCCCCCCCCCCCCCCCCCCCCCCCCCCCCCCCCCCCCCCCATGAGCCCTGGGGCCCCGTATGTTTCCCCCCCCCCCCCCCTGGATCCGCCACTGATCATGGATGCTTCGCATGGCTGTGGCAGGCATCCCTGTCACCGACGGAACCTAAGAGGTCAGGTCGCAGAAACGTTTCTGGGAAAGGTTCCTGCGAGAGAAACTGACAGAGTTCATGGGTAAGGCTAAAACGATCACTCTGTTCCCCCAGCAGAACCGTGACAATATCCCTCGGCGAAAACCAATGGGCTGTGTTGACATACGACCTTAAAATCCTCAAGTCAGGAACAGCCTTCTTGCCTTTATTCACGGGGTCCTTAGGCAAAGAAAGAGTTCCCCTTTGAAGTGACGGAACATTCTGGCTGTAGTCGATGTTTTTATTGCACTGGGAACCAAGAGTAACCAGGTTACTTATATCATTCCTCTGGATTCGAGTTTTCGCGGATGTGACGCCATGGATAACGTCATAGCTGCTTTCGCGATCCCAACCGCCTACTGCAAACTAGGATAGTGGTGGCTTGATGAATATGATTAAGTCAGCCGACTGGAATACGAACACACCCATTCACTTTTCTTCTAAGCTCATCACGACCCGGGATGAACTCACTCTCGTCTCTTAAACAGGAAAATGCTGACGCAGCAGCAGGAACTGTGGGAAACAGTCGCAGAGGAGGATTCCAAGCTCCGACCACGGTCTCCTGCTTGCATTCGAACCCTATCTGTCAGATTCATCAGCAATTGGGAGCTGTAGTTGCAGGACTTTTTCATTGTTGGAAGGATTGTAGAAGGAATATTTTGTTTTTCTCGCGGTCTGTTTCGGGACAGCTCTTGAGTAGAATTATTTGCCAAACTATGCAATCCTGATGAACAGCAGGAAAAGCGTAATATTTCATTTGATGTGGTATTTTCTTGTCTGGTACTTTTTTTTAAAGACGATTCTAACAGTTTTCTATTGCACTGACATGACATGGGTGTTGGAGTTAATTGAATAGGTGTCGAACTCGACTGAGACAACAAATAAAATCCTGTTCACCTTGAAAAATTACTCAACTATAGCTCCCTTATGATATTATTTGACCACTCATTTGGAGAGACAAAAGCCTTGAGGGTTTTAATTATGATTCGAATGAGAATAGGTCGGAATGAGACGAGCGAGCGTGGCCGGATTCTACCGAACAGCTTCGTCTTCGCAACTGCAACATCATCAATTAGGAGTGGGAGGTTCCCCTTCTCATCTGTACATGAGCCTTGGTCTCTCTCCTGCTTCGTCCATGGAAAGCCTGAACCTGCGACGGGCTGTCGCACTGAAGAGGATCAAAGCTACTCCAGGTCACGCCGATTCCGACAATGAAGACGAGGTTAATCCATGTTTCTGAATTCCGTCGAATGAAAAATCCTAGCATGGCAACTGTGTAATGTGGATTGCAGGAAGGAGGGCGGTCTTTTCGTGGGATAATGAAATCCCGGAGTTCCGTCGCCCTGATTAAACGCGAAGACAGCAATGACAAACTCGTAACATCCAGCGAACCCCCTCGTGTTAGGTGAGCTGTGATAAATAATTTATTTATCACCTTACCGGACTGCAAATACGATCGTGGAGATTCATGAAGTCGAATTAAATAATCTGTGTAGAGCTCAGCTGCAAAGAGAAGGCAGTGTGGAGTCAACAAAAATAACTCCAGACGACCCCTCTCGGTGAGACAGAGCTATTTCATTCAATAAGTCATTCTTGATTCACGCTAACACCAAGGTCATGCTTGATTCCTCTCGTTGTAGGAGGCAGGATGATATGGGAGGGGAAGAAGGGGAGGAATATTTCCTTTCCATTTCTTCTGAATCAGACTTCCACGAACCAGGGCTTATGGACATGAATGAGTCAGAGGATGAGACTAGTGACGATTGGGATGAACCACTTAGGAATCAACTGGATTCCAACACTTACCTCGCCTCTCTTGTCCAGATTCTCCTATTTCTCAGGTTAGTCAGGCCACTGAGGACCCCTCCAACTGAAGTTGACGAATCAGTCCGTAGTAACCTACAAGAACCTCCCCCTTTGTGATCTATCGTAGGTCGGTGAGAGAGGGTTTCAAAGAGAGATGGAAATATGTGAGGGATGTGGGATTCCCGTGGGAATTGAAGGTGACGACCTTGGGCTTGAGATACTTTGCTGCTTGCCTCCTCCTCTTATCTGCTTTCCTCGTTCTCATCTTCAATGGCTTCTGAGCTGGATAATATCCCTCTATTCCGTGTCTTGCAACTGGAAATCGAACTCATTATCAACGACCATCAACAAAAACTCCTCAGCACGATTTGTTTCCCCATCTTGGACGGCAGGTCTTGAATATTCTTCTTACACCCCTCCCCACTCTGAGAGGCTGTGGCAGTAATAAAGATAAAAATTTTGTCATATTTTGCTGATGTCCTTGTGTCACTGTTGAGGAAATTCGTATTATTTTAAGCTGAACGAACCTATCAATAGTCGCATGGAACCATCGAGGTACGGCAACTTTCCTTTTATTCCATTTATATTATTGCTTTTGGGAGCTTGGGACAGACGGAAACAAGCTTTCTGACGCTACCGGCGGAACATATCCAACTGTCAAATATGTCCTATGTCAACCGGATCCGCAGCTTAAGGCATTGCGGATATCATAATAGCTCCTGAGTTAAGCATTTCGCTATTATGGGCAAGAGGGAGGAACTTATGTGGGTTGATCTAAACATGGACGATTAGGAATGACTCACATCTGCCAGACTCAAACAGCACGACAAAACGGGACCGTTACCTGGATTTCCTTCGAGGGGAAAAGCAACACAATTGGTGTGTATACGAGGGTATGAGGAGAGCACACACTGAAGAGGGACGGTAGGAAAACGGTAGGGGTTGGAAACCGCCTTGTCCAGCATTTTTAAAAACAAAGACTTCGAATGCATTAGGTAAAATTTAAGGGCGAGATCGGGCGATGCGATTCTGACCAGAAGGGAGGGAGGGAGGGGGCAGTCTCCCAATTTCTTTAAAGCAGATTCAGCAGATTGGGGAGGAGGGGGGGGGGAACAAATCCTTTCTTGCCCTCTCCCATTCAATTTCAAATCTCTTTCACTTCGTCTCCCCATAACCACTCTTCCCTGCTGGTCCACATTCAATGGCTGCCATCTTTGAAAGCACTTGCTTGTTGAGAGGAAGGAAGTGATCAATTACCCCTCTAGATTCTAGTCTGGGAATGTAAGTTGTCTCTCTCCAGGAATTCCGAGGAGATGGAGTCATGGTAGAATCCCCTTTTTTCAGAACTTGTTAATGTCAATATTTATGCCTAATTTTTTCTTGGGTGAGAGCCATGCGTGAGAGCGTCATGGAAACACCTTCGATAGGAGGGGCGTCTGAAAGGGGTAAAAAAAATGGTCTAAGGAGAGCAAAAATATGAATCGCAACATATGTTTATTTCCTGCCATAGCACTAACCAACCAACCCAGGCAGCACACGATACTAGGCCAGCATTGTCTGTGAGTCGACAACCCACAGACAATGACAAAGTTGTGCCGGCATCCACTCTGTACCCGATGTAGGTCCTTATAGAAAAAGTAGAAAGAGAAGTTGAATTCAATGTAGGAAACGGTCAACGTGAATATGAAGTTTGAGTTACTACGAAGTTTTTTCGTCTTACTTCAAGGTGCATGGAAGAAGTACTGCCTGTTGCAGCACAGCGGCTTCATATTTCCAGGAGCATTACTGAAATACTAAGAACTTCAAAAGCTGCTTCTTCTACACCTGTGCGTAACATCAGCTTTGCTGGTAATGCCATTATTTTATTTACTTTATTTAGAAATAAAAAAAAAAACAAAATAAGGTTGAATCAACGGCCAAAACGGCCATTTTCCAAAAGAAGAACAAAGGACTTTAAAACCAAAATAGAGATGTGAATGCTGCTAGCATTCATAAGCAGTTTGAAAAAGTTTGTGAAGAGTCTGCCCTTTCAGCAAGCCCAGTCCCCTGGTAGCTGTGCCTACCTCGAGAGGAACATTCCTTAAACGACTCCGAAATATTTCGGAACATCGAGAAACGTTCGATTGAAGATGTCTTTAAGATGTCTCACAAAGACCTTGGGGCTAGTCCTCATTAGGGACATCCTTGGAATGTCTATGTACTGTGAGGGTGATTACCTGGAACACATATACCTAGAACCACTGCGAGACAGATCGCCCCATTCGGAAACAGTTCCAATTCCGCAGATTCAGAAGTTCTCGAGTGAGCAACATCCGGAGGCTGCTCATTTCATTCCCCTTATGGTATGTGGGATACTAGGAGATGGCGTTCGGTGTCATCACGTACTGTGATGACATCAAACCTTTTTGGAAGAGCTCGATAGATAGCGATAAAATTTTCATTTTAATGAAACTTGATAGGCGCTGTCTCGCGAACGTTCAGCATTCTGCCATCCGACCCGCCGTGAAATTTATTTGCCGACCACTGGCGTAGAGCTAAATCAACTAGTTCATGATCCCTCGTGTAAGCTTGCTAAATTTCGTCCCTTGGAGATGTCTCCTATGATGGGGCCCCCTTTAGGAACAGGATTTTCCTCCCCCATAATCGTCACTCTACAAATGGCCAAGATCTAAATATTACGTATTCTTAGATCAAATAGAGACATCTTCAAAAGTGATGGGTTCTTCTGTGCGGTAGGAAATGAATCCATTGCGGATAGGAAGGGGCCTGCAAGTACTACCTGGGACTTCTCACTTGTCCCAAGGCGATATCTCTGGGATATACCTGTGCTGTGTGGGTATGGATCAAAATTCACCATCAAGGACTTTGGCGCAACAGGTTTCTTGAGATTGAGGGCCAAAGAACGACGTGGTTTTTTCACTCTCCCCCGCCCGTTAGTCTGGCCAAATCGAAGTACCGAGCGCCTACGATGAGGGAGCTTTGACGCGTCACATATACGTAGAGTGCTTCTCCGTCTCGAGTCACGCACGCCAGGGGCCTATGGTAGTACTCTACAACAGAGTTGCACGGAAGTGAACTCGCATTCATGCGTAGGCTACTGACTAATATGTGCACTTGACCAGGGAGGAGGAAGTCGCTAATTCCATTTTCGTGCCCGACCTTGTGGGGCAGCCTCCGAGGGCGACTGGTCGCGAAACCCATCGAATAATTGCGGAACGAAAAGTTCCACGCTCGCCCGACTGTTGAATGCACCCACTAACGATTTGGTTTGTTTAAAACTTGGTTCACCTCCTTGGGGTCCAAACCTGCTACCGACCGAGTAATCCGAGCTTCGAGTCGTGTCCAAATGCATCTACGATATCACACTTGCTACAGAAAAGGCGCCTGCATTCTCACTCGTCATTAGTCCGTTAAGGCATGGCTGCCTCTAGTGCTCATGTGCTTGAATTGTGACTCCGAACCCCCGCTCTATTCGATACGAAATGAAGATACCTGGCACAGAGGCTCTAGGCCCACGAATGCGCCTTCACTTAACCATCCCTCCACTTCATATAAAATCCACACAGTGTTTCCAAAGCAGTAATTTGACTTTCTGTGTTGGGCATTGTGATTAACATTGGTGTCCTCCCCAACTGGTTCATGATTTGGTGAAACCATGTCAAATTCAAGTAAATAATGTTAATACTATATAGTGAATCAATTGAGTTGATATGCTTCTTCACTTGTGTTTTAGCAGGTTTTCATTTAGTTATGAAATTAAATTTTGAAGATTGTAGTTAGAACTTAAGTTTGCCTTGAATATGAAGATCTTGTGAAAAAACTTTCAAACTCCCCAGTTTCCAACTTTCCAGCTGGAAATTTTCCAGTTGGAATTTTATAAAAAGAACCCTACAGCTGGAATGTAGCTAAATTTACAGTTTAAAATCAGCTGTTCTTGTTGATGGACCTCCGACAAAAATAGTCAAAGAAAAGATTCTCATTCAGTTAGACATTCAGTTAGTTATATTGCAATTAGGAAGAACTCAGGAGTTGACTATTTTCCAGCTGTTACCCAGTTGGAATGGGTCCGAATTTACAGCTGGAGTCCAGCTGGAAATTATAGCTGTTTCCAGCTGGAATTTTAAACTGAGTCAACTGAAAAATATTTATTGAATTAGCTAGGAAGTGATTCTTCCAGGAGTTCATGAGTGCTCAGGCTTACCAATACCTATATATATATATATATGGTTTCAGTTTGTTTCTAGTCCTGTTATGTCTATTACTAGGTAATAGGGATGTGCTGAACTAATTTAAAACTTGCTCTATAATTAGACTTTAGATTGCCAAACTCCTCTTGACAAGGAATAAGTTATAGTTGGAATCAAGAGAAAAATATAGAGGAAGAGGAAATGATTTAATGGAAAAGATTGCTAGCTGCAGTGATACTCCTGAGAAACTATAATCAGTAACAAAAAACCATGAATTTCACTGGTATTGCAATATCTGGCATGGCTGGACATCACCCTGCATGGATGGCAGTTTCATTTTAGCTTGGAGGTCAACCCATTTGATGACCCCAAAGATCACACAGCCCTTGGTCTGTGCTCTTGTGCAGCTCAGGACTTGACTATCATATGCATGATATATTCATCTATAGGTCTGTAATGATTCTAAATCATCACCCCAGATGTCCCACCAGGATTCTATGATTCAAGGGTCTCTCATTAGCCCTATAAGTTCCCCAAATAAAATATATTTCTAGATAAGATCTGTATCTTTGAACAGATATATGCAACTTTAGAGTCCTCATCTGAAAGCCACTGGGGATGTTTTAGGTCTCATGAGGCATGAGGAGAAGGAAGGTCAAGCATAAAGTGTGGCAACAAGAATGTCCAAGATATACCAATACAAGCCTGCAGTGAAAGCTACTTTGTACAAGAGGATGAAACTGATCAGAGTTGTTCAAAGGCAGCTAAGAGGTTCATGTCTTGTTGCTAACTCAGATGGATCAAGAGGTGAGGATGAGTCCATAGCCTCCTCTGGAGTGAACATGATCTTGAAGACTGGAAGCCAAAGCTCTCATCTGGATCATGATACATTAGCTACTGCAGTGGCTCATTCAAAAAGGCATTGGCATAAAGGATTATCGAGAACAGTGTGGAAGGAAGAGAAACAACATAAGCTTAATCTGGAGGATCTTGGCAATGCATCAACCAAGAAATTGGTGGAGAGGTTCTCTTCTCCAGCTTCATTCCCTTTCCAGAGAATTCATTCTGAAAGTGAAGTTGGAATCGGGGCCTATGTTGGGAATCATCAGGGTTTCATTGGTGCTGCAAAGCATAAGTGAGTTAAACAACTTTGAAAAGGTCAATTGCAGCATGAATTTTCTCAATGCTTCATTTACTGGTGGCAGTATTCTGTATAGGAGGATTGAAAACTAAATACCTGGGGTACACCTGGAAAGTGCTCTCTTTGTCCTTGCGATTGGAGAAAATGGGATAATATTTTAAAATAAGAGGTTTTCCATTAATTATATTGTGTGGATATGGGGTTATGCATTCTTGTATGAATATCCACTGCCATTTTGTTCTTTATCACAGTTTTAATAATGGACCTTGATAGATCTCATCCTGTTCAAGGCGTGAAAAGAATTTATTGACATATTCTCCCCTCTCTTTCAGGGCCAGTGACTTCCAAGTGGATGAGATTGACGTTGAAGGAAAAGTTGTGGAATTGACTGACTTAACTGTCCCAGAGTTCCCTGATTTTTCTAAGGAAGGTAGAACTCTGCCATTCAAGTCAGATTTCATTGCTATTTTCACATGTTCTGTTTAGGTAGTAATCTAATATTGAGTTGTTTCAAATTTCAGATATCTATCATGGGAGACCATGGTACACTCATTTTGTGATACAGAAGTGCATGATTGACACTTACAGTATAGCCAGAGCTCTGCACAAGGAATTAAAGTAAGTGCAATAACTAAGTTAATCCTTTCGTTCTCTTGTAACTAATCTATTCCTGACTTCTTTGGAAGCAGGCATTGTGGAGTGAATCAATGTCAGTACTTCTAGAAAACTTCCTATAAGGTATATTCCAGGTTTTTGCTCTTTTCATTCCAGAATCCCAATGCATGTCATCTACAGTGCTGGCCTGAAAGATCGACGTGGAATAACAACACAACGCATGTGTGTTAGAGGCCACTACCCTCAGCAGATTGTCAAAGCATTAGGAGCCATCAAGAAATCCTTTGTTTCTGTAAAAGTGGGCAACTTCTCACATTCCCCATACCCCCTAGTTGTTGGATCATTATCTGGAAACAACTTCAGGATTACATTGAGGTCAGTTTCAGTCCTGGCTTCCCTTCACTTTGGTCAATGTCCATAAGGTTCTGGGAATGGATGCATAAATGTATGTAGGGATGTGCAGGCACCAAAAGGTGTGATTTCAAGAGCAGTGGATTCTGTGGTGCAGAATGGCTTCCTAAACTACTTTGGCCTCCAGCGATTTGGCAGTGGAGTCATACCTAGCAATGTGCTAGGCTGGTGCATTCTCTCAGAGAAATGGCAGACTGTATGTATAGTTTTTACTTTGAAATAGTTGTGATGCACATTTTCACTGTCAAACTCATATAGCCATTTGCTTTCTCTGTGTCTTCTTTATAGCTTGTTGACTTGGTGATGAAGAATGAACTCTTTGGAGATTCACGTGATGTTGTAAAAGGCAGACGAATATGGCTGGAAACACGTGATCCCAGTAAAGTGTATCAAAGCATAGAGGACAAGCATGGAGATATAGCCAAGATGATGCAACATCTAATGCTTCATCCAGGGGACTATGAAAATGCTCTCAAATGTGTAAGAATAGGATAGGCGCATTGTCTTTCATGCACATGTGACAGCTTAATTTGTCTGGGGAAATGAACATAGGTTTAGTTCTGATGGTGGTTGATGAAAGTCATTGCCCCACTTTCACTTCACATGATGCACATTAATGTGTGATATCTGGAAGATGCTGTAAATAGGTCTGTCTTTGCTCTTCTCCTCTTCTTAATTTGTCAGGCAGCAGGTAATGGTAAGGAGCATCAGTAGTACAAGGAGTTGGTTTTAGTAGGTCAAAGGGAAGATGAGATTTTTTGTTTCTCTGAAATGCACTATGGTTACTGGCAATTCCATATTTTGAAAAATGTGTTTCTTCTCACAGATGAACCACCGATTGCTAACGCTTTGGGTTATGGGATATCAGAGCTACATCTGGAATATGATTGTGACAAGGCGAGTGCATGAATTTGGGTTGAAACCAATTGAGGGAGACTTAGTTCTTGTTGATAAGAAGGCCTTCTACAGGAGAGAACGTCTGCATGGTTTGTTCCTTTGTTTTTCAGTTTTCTCTTGCAAATATTCATAGCCTCAATCACTATGCATAATGCATGCATATGCATAATCCTACAGAGGGACTGCTTGCAGGAGCAAGTACAGAAGGGTTGGGGAAGAGGGAGGATGATATCCGACATTTGGTGAGGCCATTGAGCAGGGCTGAAGCATCTGAGACTCCCATTGAAGATGTGGTCCTCCCAGTCCCTGGACATGGAGTTGCTTTCCCAGAGAATGAGATCTCTCTTTGGTATAGGAGGCTCCTAACCAGGGATGGTTTCTCTCCAGAGGACTTTCATCTCCCGTGAGCTATCTGTTACTAAGCCAATCAAGTGGGCCTACCATGAGCTTTAGCCATTTAGAGAGAGTAGGAGTAAAACTACTAAGGAGCAGGAGCTTGGATTCTTCATTATGGATTTGTCTCTGCCTGCTTTCTACAACTGCTTCATGGGTTTGTCTGACTTCCAGCAACATGTTCCCCTTTTCTTTGCAGTTGGTTTGCTTCAAGAGGAATCTATCGCCAGCTCTTGGTAAAACCCTGTGATTTCCAATGGCATCTTGTCCACTACAATCACATGTATGAAAAGCTCCCCCCAAAAAACACTCCCCCTTTCTCTGAGAGTGACCCTACATATCATATAGGTATGTGGTGTGGGGTCCTCCCAATGATTCCAAAATCCAAGAGCTTTATCATTCAAAGATGTCTTTTTTTCTGTTCCAGGAGGTGGAAAAGATCAATTTCAGGGTCTGCTCCTAGCTTTCTCTCTTCCTGCTGGTTGCTATGCTACTGAACTCATTCGAGAGCTGCTGAAGCAAAGCAGTGGTGTTATTTTGCAGAGATCCCTATGGAAACGTGCTTTATAATAGTTTGTGTTAATCCTGCATTCTTCTAGATGAAGTTTCATGTATCATGCATGAGAGGATTCTTTTCGTTTTATATTGTGTCCTTTATACTGGCTTCTTTATTCTCTGTCATTCACCACACAGACTAATTATTGGTACAGTTATTGCAAAAATGCATAGAGCATAATAGTATATTCCTGCCAGCAGTAATGATCTTTGCTGCTGTTGTCTTTTGTCAAATGAAGCAGGAAGGGATGCATTTAAGTTTCAGAGAATGAAAACCAATAAGGCCCATTTGTTGGCTGCAATTTTTGTGAAAAATGAAATTCCTCAGGTAAACCCATGGCCTGCAATGGAGGAACACTTCCCAAATGTGTAGTGCTTCCAGTCAAGTCGTCTAAAAAATATTCAATATTTAGAAGGTTTGCACCTTCATAACCAAAATTACATTTTGCATGTAGATAGAATGAGTAATGATCCATGTAAAGTATCTTATTAAGTTTTCCTTCTTAATTATTTCTATATGAAGCATAATAAATGCACAACTCTTATAAAATTCTGTTTCATTTATGGCACAGCAGATAGCGAAACAATTTCTTCTGCAATTACTTTCCTTTAGTCTCTAACGTTAAACATCCTGAAATTCTTTTCTGTTTCTCGCTTGAAGAAAGTACAGGTAAGAAAGTCACTGCCACATGCAATTTGCATTTGTTCCTCAGTCTATTCATGAAAATTGTACTCTCCACTTAAGATGAAGTAGTGGTTAGAGCCTGTTACTTTGACAAAGGATGAATTGCATGTGAAGGCTGATAATTGGTTGATTCACAAACCATGAGAACCTGGTTCAACTGAGAGGAAGTGATAAACCAGAATGAGCTTGAACTGAAGAAAGAATTTTCTCTAAAGATTCAGGGATGCACAAACTACAATTTGCCAGAGGCATTGGGGTCAGTCAGAGATCTTTTTAGCAATCTTTTAAAGTGCAAAGAGTATAAAAAGCTCTTAAAAGAATTGACAGTTCTAGTAAGCAACAGTGTCTGACGGTCAGGTGCCTAGCATCAGTTGCAAAATTAACATTTTATTTGCACTTCTACAGTTGTTTGTACAGTAGAATGACTGGGGATGAATGGATATGGCTTTTAGGATGTTTAAAGGATAAATAGAAGTAATTACTAGATAAATTTGTTGTGCTATCTGCTACCTCATGATCACTAAAGAATTTTGAGTGGTCTATTTGTATGCCTCACCCAGTGTGCACATGCTGCATCTTCTTAGCTGGAAATGTATTTCTCCTGGATTTCAAAAATTATCTGCTCTACCTATGTAAAAAATATAATTTTGGTCAAGTAGCTGCAACCCCTCCAAATGCAGAATTTTGTAAGATCATCTGCAGTATTTTCTCCATGGGTGCCATTATGAAGCCTCATAAAAGGTACAACTATGAAAAAGGCTCAGCTCTGTAAGAACCATCTGGCTAACGAATAAGTGATTTTGGTTGCCTTTGTACATGGGGGATATGTCCCTCCATTATAAGAAAAGAGTTTCCTTGGGTTTTGAGGAATTTTATTTTTCATAAATATTTTAACAAAAGGTGGCCTCCTCATCCTTTCAGAGTAGAGAAAGACTTATTGTTTTGCAGTATGCAATGTAAAGGGAGGTCCTGTGCAACTGACCATGACTTTCTAGTTCTGTTTGCAGTTGCCTTCACTTAACATGGCTGAATTAAGAAGACAAATAATGGAAAAATTTTCAAAATTTCTCCTCACACACTTTCTTTTGATCCAATATGCAAGAATAACAGCCTGCTTAAACAGACTATACCTGCAAATAGCCCACTTCAAGAGATATCTAATGGTACAATTTAAAACCAGTTTTTCAAATATAGTAATGCAAGAGCTGTATCAAAAGATATGATCCTTATAATGATTGCTTGATTGCTTATTTGGATGAACAGTATTATTTCAGGTGCATAATCACCATTCATTATGTGTGAATGAGAGTGTGTGCATATGTGACTGGTACAGAGCCATGCCTTCACAGCAAATATTTTTCGGCATCTACATCCCTCCTCAGAATGTTGAAGGCAAAGAGAATGACAACAGCATGGGTAAGACTTTAGTAGTACCATATTGCACTTCTTTTTTTAAGAAGTGCATTATAATTCAAATTGCTTCATATACTCAAAAATTATTTTTTCCAAACACCACAGTTATAGATTTTAACATTTTCAACTTAACTAGAAGCCAAGAATTTTGCCACATGTCTATTTCGGCCTTCTTATATTCCTATATATATATTTTGAAGGAGTGGAGAGAGTGCTGACTAATCGAGAAGAAGCTTTGAAAATTGCAAAAAAGCATCCTGGAGCTCGCTTCAAGGCATTTTCTGTGCAAGAGGATGCCATTCATTTTGCTCAGCAAGGCTTCTCTGTCAGAAAGGATGCAGGAACTGCTGCCACAGACAACGCCAATTGTGAGAAGCCCCTCCCATTCAAAGCACCCAAGCCACAAGACATGACAAGATTGAAGAAGATGATAGAGGCTGGAGAGGTGGACACTTTTATGCAGACTGTATGGGATAATCCCCGTTTCCTTATCAGCTCTGGTGACACTCCAACTATCTTACGGGAAGGGATGAGGTAAATGCAGTGTTCACTTAAACCTTAGATGCTCTGACAAAGGGGGGAATATATGGTTTTAACTTTTCTATAGAGTGCAAGTCTCTCATTAAGCCTGACTGTTGAGTAATTTTGGAATTACCACTTTGAACCAGGGACTGAGTGCTTTCTGGTACTAACATGAATATCACTCTATCATTGTTGTTCACCCTGAAAAAAAAGCGAAATTATTGCTATCCTGAAGCATTTTAAAATTGTCTATTTACCCCTGACATCAGTAACTTACTTCTTTTACATAAGATGAGAAGTCTTTTTGTTGTGAGGAACTGGACACTTTTTTTTTGTCTATGGCAACAGTGCTGAATTATGTGCAAATGCATAATTCCATAAGAGTGTGAGGAAATAGAAAGTAGTGGCCAAGTGGGACCCCTCCATCTTCTGTGCCTTCTGAGATTCCTGCTTGAGTCCCCATGTATTGTGTACTGAATCAAAGAAGACAAAGTGAGCTTTTTGGTAATTCCAAATTTATTTTAATCATGGGATATGATTCAAGCAATAAAAGGAGAAGGAAAGGATTTGGTTAGTGCTCAGGTTTTTTCCTTATTAGGAAGGGGACATTAATGACAAGTTTGAAAAAGTATGGGGGAGGCATGATAATTATTTTGCTGAATGTAAAGCAACAATTTGAAGCTCTTTACACGCTGTAACATCTGTCTTTTGAATTATATTTTCTATCTTCACCTTTAATTTGTTATTTCCTTTGCTTTAGCCTTATCCATGGTGGTGTATTACTATTTGCTATGCTCTATGATCTGGTTAATACTGTAGATAGCTTTGCTTTAGCCCTACTAATTCATATGAAAATTTTTAAATCATTGAAAACAAGCTCATATGCATAGTGAAAGTTTTTGAAAATAGCTTCAATGTGACAAGAGATATTATATTAACCTCTTAAATGGCTATGACGGATATATCTGTAGTCATGAAATGCTACTTAGGTGGGTTTGACTTTTTTTCATTTCTCTATATTTTGAGTTTGAGTTAACCCTTTAATGCAAGACATAGCAGATATGCTACATACCAAATGAACATTTTTAGAATGTGCATGTTGCAAGCTCCTGAGTTAAGTTCATTTTTAGCAGATGTGCAGCAGTCTGGTCCTTATACTGAGCAGCTATGTGGTTGCTTGGTGCCATACACCCCTGGTGACAAGCAAATTAAAAACATCTGGTTTGTCGTGTGACAGATTGACTTTTTGGTGCAATGTTCTTAAACTTTACATTAATCCAACATCTAGGCTCATCTGTACATTTACATTTTCTTTTGCATTGAGGTATGTATGAATGTTGACAGACCGACTGAGCTCTCTTGTGCCTATGCAGGGTGGGTAAGAAAGCTGAAAATGCTAATTGTAGCAAATGAGCAACAATAATATTTTTAAGTCTACTGCTTACAAATTTGATTTTTTTATTATTCTTACACTTGTTCTGTGTTCTAGTGTAACCTACCAGATTTTTTTCCTTGAAAAATAAAAAATCATGCATTAAAGGGTTAAAATATAAAACTCTATTGGAAAACTTCTGTCTGAGAAATTCCTCACTTAAGAGGTTAAGATTAAAAGTCATTGGTCTTTTTTTTGCTATACCCTGTGCATATGTTCCCCCTTGTTTGCAACTGTGTGACATATCCCTAGCTTGAAAAGTTGTTTTGGCTTTATGTATCTGTTTGAACCTGTAGTTGGTCCCACTTGCACTATTAACATTTAAGTAAGGAAGAAGAGGGCAGAAGCGATGAGGATGTCAATTAGTTTTTAGGGCCACCCAGGTGGACATTGCCACCGAGAAGAGGGAGATAAGGAAGTGACGTATCATCTATTTGAGATTAATGATTACAGATGTTTCCAGACTTCTCAGCCTGTGAGAGAGGGATTCCTGTTGTCATTCTCCTTTACCCTCTTGCTTAACTATTGCTATGCTGACTATTTCCATATTCAAACAGAGCATTTCAGTGGAAATTTTTTAATTTTTGCCACATTCCAAAGACCATGGAACCTTTTTTAACCTTGACCTTTCCACATGTATTAAAGGAAGATTCCATGCTCTTCAAATATAGCTAAATTTGTGTTTTTCCACATTCGTGCTGTTTGAATCTGGAAACATTTGGCATGTAAAGGTTAACCATTAATCAATAGCTTTTCCTGTTGACCTGAAGACTTCTTGACACTTTGCTTCCTTTGGTTGTCTCTACCAACCCCAGGCACAATATACCTTATGATGAGTGCAGGGAAAAAATGGTGAGGTTCATGAAAGCACTTTTTATGATATTGAAAGGTTTATTATTATTATTATTATTTTGAAAATCCAGCAAAATACTATTGATTTGATTCAGTGGTATCATCTCTGTTAGATTATTTGGTTAACTTCTTATGTAAACATTTCTTTGGTTTTAGGTGTTCATATATGATGCTTATTGAAAAATGAAAAATGTACTTAAACCAGTTGTATTTAACACACCCCAGATTTGCCTTCCTACATTATTACTTCATTCAAAGATACAATAAGCAATTAGTCTACTTCCTTTCTTGTTATTCAATCATTTCAACCGCTGCTTTTTTAAAATGTGGAATGTTTACAAGGCTCATTTTCTCACTACTGGAAAAGCAAATCCAGCTCTTGGCATAGGAGCTTAGAACTTAATTGATATGGAGTTACAGAAATGGTCCTAATGTGGTTGCTATTTATGTCCATTTTTGGGACAGGTACAATGCTTTGCATGTGGGAGCTATTGCAAAGCAGGCCAAGTTGTGTCAGGTGCTTCTAGACACCATTGAAGACCCTGAATTTACGGCTCGCCTCTACCCAGATGATTCCCCAAGTGCTCATCGCTCACGTATTTCCTTTCTTATGGACCTCTACCTGAATACACCTGATCGTGCAGGGAATGAGACACCACTTCACTTTGCCGCAAAACTTGGAGCAGTGGAAGTGGTTCGTATACTTGTCTCATATAGGATGTGTGATCGAGAGCGCAAGAATAAGCACGGAGAGACACCTAGGGATGTAAGTTTATCCCCTCCTCTATATCTGTATGCAGCTTTTATAAAATAATGTTTTCTAGCCCTAAAGTCATGCAAACACTATCTCTATTTATATATATTTTCCTTCAGATCATCTGCTCCCGTTGTTCAGATGCAAATCCATCCACAAAGAAAAAGATTCACCAGTTGCTTGCTGAGCAGTACTTTATTCCATTGTTGGGATCAGATGATACAATGCCTTTGAAACTGCTCAAGCCCTGGTCTCCAGATCGACATGGGAGTAGACCTTCTGCTTTACCCCTAGACCAAGACCTCTTACCTTCAGTGAGACCACCTGGCTGATTTTACTCTCCTAGAATGATGTATCCAGTGCTTTTACAGGTGGGCTCAGTATTGTTCTATAGTCTTAGGTAATACAGACTTGATGATGGTTGCACTGGTGCTGGCAAGCTTGCAAGAGTTTGGCTTCCAAAATACCAATTGCATTTGTGAAGCCATATAATAGAGAGGAATACTGTAAAACGGAGGTAGCCATATTCTCCAGTTTAAGACATGAATTGATGAAGCATTGCCTCATTCTTGGAATACAACAGGTGCTTTACCCACTTTACCCACCCACCTTTATTGCCAGCTTGTCTCTATTTGTGATGCTACTTAAATGAGGACTTGCGCAACACAGCCCAACAATCCAGACCAGTTCATGGCATGACAATAATTGTAGTGATGGCACACTGCTCATAAAAATTCAGTTTGGGAACTTGCTCTCCACAAACAGTACATAAGGAGTATATGGATTACTCATACACAAGAGGATTTATACTCCAGTACATCTGTGTTTGTAAGTTTGATAGAAAGTTGTATGACTTTGGTATGCATGGAAGCATATTTTCTTGTTCTCCATGTGCACATTTTTCTCTTCTCAAATAAGTGTGGTTCATTTCAAGATTCAATAACCTTCTGTTCTACTTAGTTAACTCCTTCCTGAAAATAACAAGGATGTTAGCAATGACCAAAATTACCAGGCATGGAGGAAAAAAATTGCCACTTTTTTGCATTTTTATATCAGGAAATATGTCATTACTGTAGCTCTGTATGTTCCAGAATATGTGTACCTGCATCTTGTCTCATATGAAAATTTTTTAAAAAGAATATTCATTAATGTTTTATTGTCAGTAAATGCAGATCTTGGTGAATTACATGCATTTTCCTTCAACAAATGATCAAAATTTGCTAATAACCTGGATATGGAAGAGGGAGAGAAATTTCAAAGATAATATACAGATTGCTTAACAGAGTTTCCACGGACATAAAAAAAGCTTAGGAAATATAAATGGGATCAAAAAGTCTGGGAGATGTCAAGGAAATGGGAAGAAATTTTATCAACTGCCATGAATTTGACAATATTGAAAAGGTGGAGGTTTTGTATTTAAACATTTGGTCAGGGATATAATGGTCAAAACGGTAGCCAGGAGAAGTCAGAGAAATTGATTTCAGATTTTTATGATAGTCTGCTTCAACAATTTTTAGAATGTCTCACTCCTTCCAGAGAAACACTAGTGATGTGGAGGGCATTCATATTTATTTCTAAGGACTTTTTCAATTGTTTTATTAAACAGGGTAGCCCCCATAAGTCCCAATATCAAGTAAATGCTTATGTGGGACCACTCTCAAGTAATGAAGCTGATGCTCTCTTCAAGGAGCTAAAGCAATCATCATCTCCAAGATCAAACAAGAGACCTGGTGCATATCATGATTTGAAGGCAAGGGGAAGGTCTGTGATAAGTATTCATTGTGTGAAATCTTCATAAGTTTCAGTAGATCTATCATTATTACAATTATTACTAACTTTTAGAGCTTAAACTTTTTCTTCACTCTCATAGGGCTATGGCTCGAGAGCATCATGTCCCATGGAAGGAATACTGGGGCTTCTTGGGAGGATTCTATGACTTGTCCTCAGATGATGGGCTTCAAAAATTGAATGAGCACCTGAAAAATGTAAGCCGTTCTCTTACTGAGCCAAGGAAGATGGTGAATATGAAAAGAAAGAGAGTGATGCAAGGAGGATCACTTGCAGAGGAATCAGGGTCTCCACGCCTCGTCCAGGTGGCAACTCCTTTTTCCGCATCTTTGAGGAAGGATGGCAATGTCAAAATCCCTGAGGATTCCATGACTCTGGACCACAGTGATAGAATCTCTAAGAGTGCCAGGAATTTGGCATTGGTCTTGACACGTGCTGCTCTTGATGCACACACAGAAATGTCTGAATCTCTCTACAGCCCTATTTCTAGGGAATCCAAGCTCCCAATAGCTATGCATGTGAAGATGGCCCAGTCCACAGCTGAATGGATTGCTGAAGATGATAAGATGGATGTTGTGGGATTGTTACGTGATCTACTTAAAAGGTTTGACCAGAGGCCTAATTTTTATATGGACAGTTCTGATGATGATGATGATGACAAAGCACAAAGTATGTTGGAACCAGTGAGGGTAGGAAGAGGTGGAGCCAGCTCATGGAGGGAGCCTGTAAGTCCCACTGAGTCCAAGTCTTCCCTTCTTCATTTCAGTAGTCTGGGAAGCATGACACTGTAGTGTCCCATTATGGGACATCTTGTTATATGCATCTAAGCATGGCAATCCTTGGGGATGTTTCCACTTTTGGTACTAGGTGCTTGTTGGAGTCTTCGAAGATGATCATCTTTTCCTTCAGGTGTCAAGTCTTCTTTCCAAACATGACTCCATTCTATTTCTTCTTTTGATCTTCATTCTTACCTTCCCTGTTTGTATATGGCTACCATATCTATACTGGAGAAATATTGAATCTTGAAAATGTTAATTGAATGGGATGGGACAAGTGTAAATCTCAGTGTGCACTCAGAGGTATTCTAAGTTAAAAAACATATCAAATTGAACAGTTTTCTTTTGGAGTTCATAGTTCTTGAATGATCAAGTAATATGAACTATCCTGTTATATATTCACTATTGAAGTTATTTTCAAAATCTAATACTGGTACAAGGATTTCAATACCCATTACTCAATTACAGTGTCACTTTACAAATGCTCTGTTACTCCACTGCAGTTTCCATCATGGGTGAGCTCAATTTGCAGCACAGTTACTGATAACTAACAGCTTTGAGCCCACTTGGTGAAGTTAAATCCTGGAAATTTTACTTAGGAAAGTAACATGGGAAGCAGATTTTCCATCCCTACCTGGCAATTATAGGAGTTGTTGTGTGAGATGGTATTCCATGAAATCATTTTAAGCTTTTCCTGTGATGAATGCTTGACTTCTCGGAAAACCTTTTGGGCCTCTGAATGAGGAGTTTACTGGTGCGCTTCAAGAACCTGAAATTCCTTTATTTCAAATTTTTCATGACATGTTTTCGGAAACCCTTAATGAGACATATGAAAATTGTCACATCCCTGATGATATATCACACAGTATCTTCTTGCTTTCAATATGAGAACTTGATTATTTGGAGATATGATGGAAAACTGGCAGCAATGAATAAAGCAGTAATTATTTATCAAGTTATTATTTCTTATGAGATTGAACTCCCATCAAGATTTATCAGTAATTTACCATATTTCTTTACTGAATCTGACTGGCTGCTCAATGGAATCATGAACAACTGAACATCCTCTTTCAGCCTCTCATACCCCCAGCTTTCCAATTCTAGCCTGCATCAAAGAGTCGTGAACTTTTTCCAAAATGCTGCATCTATTGAATCTAAAGGCAAAGCTTCAGCTATCCAAGTTTCCTTTGCCCTGAACAGTTCAGTGGGATTAAATCTTTTGCATTAAAGGAAAGATTGGCTCATAACTCATGCTGATCTTAGTGGGAAGGAGATTGACAGATGTGGAAGAAGCCCACTTGGCTTCTTTTTTTTTATTATCTCAATAGCAAGAGAAAAATGAAAATTTTCAATTTATATGCATTGATTATTTAATGGAAACTTGCCATGATTTTGGTTAATGAGAAATATGCAATTTTATGCTTATATTTCTTTAGGAAAAATGCAATACTTTGTAGAGGATATTTTTAGTCTCAACCTATTTGTGCAAACTTTAAATATAACTAATACCTATTTTAACAGATGGGATGCAACACCTCATATTGTTTGCCTGTTGCAAGGGATGCAATCTCCTTTACGATTACCCAAAGTAAACAGTCAAATCTGGACTTCAGCAAGAAGTCTTGGCAGTTTTATATAATTTTGATGCTTATGAGGCTACCCCATGATGCATTTGGTGAAATTGCACAGTTTGATTAGGTTATGAATACTGATTGGTGCTAAAGTCAATGTCAGTTGAGAGATTGGAACAAGAAGGTGAAGACGATGTGAATGACATGGAATATAGACTCCAATTGTATTGAGGAATTTCCTTGGTATCCATCGAAAATAGTAATTTCCTTTTCAATACATTTTTCCCATCTCATTTAATGTCACATTGTCACATTCTGACTGTTATCTTTTTTGATGCTGAATCTACAGATGACTAGATGAGGAAAGGTGGTGTATTGAGCATGTTTTTCTTTGTTTTCTATTTTACAGCAGCAAGGCAAGATGAGGACTTCAAGGCTTTCAAAGGATTCAGCATGTATTCTCTCCCAGATACAGGCAAGACTACTGCAAGAAGTTCCCTTGAAGACTTGTGAGTGTATCTCCAATGGGAACCGGCCATTCCAACAGTGGAATGCTCGAAGACTATGGCCTGTTGAGGATAAGTCTGAGTCAGTTGCAGAATCTGAACCAGAAGATGAGGATGTTTGGGTCACTCCACCATCCTCACCTGAGGATGAACGACCTGTCACCCCTGACAACAGCATGGAATTCTTCATTCATGGGTGAGACTTCCCTTTATTATACCTGATTTTTCTAAGTGCTGGTAATTCATCTGCTTTAGTTTGATCAAACTCAAATTGCCATTGTGTTCCTCATCTTAGTGCAATTAAAACCTCTGAGATTCATTTCTGTTTTGAAATTATAACTCCAGAGATTCAGTTCTGTTTTCTTGGCTGATGAAATTCTGTTTCCTTCAAGTGAATCCCTTTATTGAAAGAGTCAAATACAGTTTATTAAGTATGACTGAGTTTCTGTATATTCCAATGAGACTTTTCCAGTAATGAAATACTTTTGCCAGAAGGTTCATGACAATAACTGTATGTTATATAGATTAATGTTTGGTATCATTGAGTAGCTTATTTTATCGTCCATTCAAGTCCCCATTTGAATTTAGTGATTTAGTAATTTGAATCCCTCTGGGATCCCTCACAATGATAATTGCATAGGGCATCTGAGCAAGCTCAGGTAGAAAAGAGATTATAATTTTGGAATATATCCCTAGAGAGTTGAAATGCGAATATCAATAAGAGACTCAGTTTGGGACTAGCCCATATTTTTCATTCATTGCTACCAGTGAGGTTCCAAGTCGGACAGACGTGGAAGCCCTTGCTGCAATCAGTTATCTGGACAGCATCCAGTTAGCAGAGTTATACCCATATGTATTCCATTGGAAGACTGTCATGGAGTCTCTGGATCCCAATGAGTTACACCGGTAAGCTTTATACTCTGAAACTCCAATGAGAACGATTTTCCTTGTAGCATTTTTCTTTTCTCTGTTTGGGTGATACCTAGATTGGAGAGAACTCCAAGACGTGTTGCATTCACATCCTCCACTGCATCTATTGCTGCTCCGTCCACTTCTGTTGGTTTCCATCTCAAGCAACCCCTTCGCGCTGCTTCATGCTGACACTAACATAAGTTGTGATAATGAAGACTTTGCTTTTTTATTCCCATAGGCTTGCCCTATATGTTTTCATTTTTGACAGACCTGAGTAAAATCCATATTTAGTAAATGAAGGTGGCATTTTTCATATGTGGTGTATGTGGAGAGAAATGTTCGTTGAGACTGTATGCTTGCTCAAAACTGAGAAGCTGATCCAATCGAAACATTACGAAGATAATTAATTTTTGGAAAGATTGGAATCATTATAACCATCTGAAAAACATGGTTATTAGCGTTTCCTTGCCAAAAAAAATTACAATGCACAAATTGGGCTGTAGTAATCAAATTTGACTCAGAGCTGCAGTGTGTAATCAGATCGCAGAATATGTAAAGCCGGACGACTCTTCCTTGAGAAAACTCGGCAAATGCCCAAAGTCTATTCATTTCGGTTGGATTTTGATCACTACCCGTCCCAGCTGACACTAGCACCATTGTTGAGCGGTAAGCTGCGTGGCAATGCTGAGGCAATGTCATCGATGAACTACAAGAATTCATGTCGGGTCTCGATTGAGAGCTACGAAGGCTAACGGTAGAGGAATAGAGCAAAACGCCTCTACTAAAGGAGTGTATTATTAATAAATCCAAGCGATTTTTCAGGCAGTCGGTCTGATATTCACGTCAATTTAGTAGTTGGTTGGATGTAGAAGCTGAAATAGGATGCATATAGGCGCGCGCGGGTAATCAAGTGAAAGACGAGGAATATCGGGTTACGTCGAGGTCATTGAAGCAGGAAATCAGGCCGGCGAGGCAAAAGCGGCTAACGTTTGGTGCTAAGAATAACCTCAAGGCTTTTTATCAATACGCCCTCAGCAGGAGTCTACCATCGATCGGCCTCTTGAAGGACGACCGGGTGAGTTAGTCGCAAATACCAGGGGAATGGCCGGATGCTGGATGATTTCTTTGCTACTCTTTTCACGAGCGAATCCGAAGACGTGATGATGACAAGGTTTCCTCGGCGTGTATCGAGGAATTAGTCTTCACAGAGGAAGAGAACACCAACAGGATTGAAAAACTAAAGGTGGGAAAGGCAACCTTTCCCGATGGGATTCCAACTCGTGTCATCAAAGCAATCCGTCGGGAAATATCGGTAGCAAGAATCATATTCTAAACTTGCATTTTGCGCGGGGAAATGCCATGGGACTGGAAATTAGCGAAATTCTTTGATACGATTGCGTGCGATCCATGACCAAGAACCGTTGATGACTGCAGCAGAAACGCTGTTTTGGTTTTCCCTCCGCTGAGCGGGAATTCTAAAGACGAGTTGCGATCGTGGTGAGAAAGGGGAAAAGAATAATCCTACGTATTGCAGACTGATGAGTTTCACGAACTTTTCGGAAAAGGTCATGGAATTTTTAGATGCATTCTTTAGTTCATACAGTTAGAATTCATATAAATTAACTTGCCCGTACTAGAGTTTCACCACCGCTTAACGATGCGACGTAATTAACTCACCAATCGATTAGAATTTAAAGATTAGATAACTGGTACAATGGATATAGAGAGCCCATTCAACATCGTTTATCTAGAATTATCTAGAGCTGCTTTCGCTTTCGCTACTGTTCCGCACTAGAGGTTATGGGCTATATTTGAGACGCACGGAATTCAAGCTAGGTTGAGTAGTGGATTAGTAATTGGTTGCCGGGAGGAAATCAGCGAGTAATGGGGGAAAGCGTTGGTGGAAATCGGGCGAGCGATCGGAGTTCTCCAGCTCTCCATTTTGAAATCGCTTCTACTTGAAACTTACAAGAATGATCTGACTCAAGGGCTAGCGAGTACGATCAGCGAATTTATCGATGGCACCAAAATACGCCACTCAACATTCGAAGCGGATCGCTGTTATAACAATGAGCGTTACAAAGGTCCTGTGCAATAATTTGACTTCACGCAATCTGCATAATTTGTTTACAGTGAAATGGGTCCCCGAAGGATCTGGTACAAAGTGGTTTGAGTACATACACTCAATGTGCGCCATACTTTTCCACCTTCGCTGCTACCCTCGAAGCTGATAGAGAGATCCACTTGGAATGTCGAGTGGCGTAGGATTCACCACGACGCGAAGAACAGGACAGGAGCCGTAAAAAAATAAGTTTTTGTAGGAGAGGGGTAAACGATGGCTCGTGAAGATCAGTAAGAGTAAAATTATTCGCGATGGTCATCATAACGAAAAGGTTTCTGGACGCGTCGGGCTGACGGGCTGATAAATGGAAACGGCAAGAAGAGGCTTACAGACCGTGATCGATGAGCTCAAGTTCTCGCGCGCGCAGGCGACAATCGCTAAATGGAACCGGATTTTCCGCTTCATTCGGTATTCCATTACTAATAAGAGCTGGAGCATTATTTTTCCATTGCATGCAACACCATTAAGACCCCATTCTTAGTATTGGCCTTAATTTTGCAGGCCTGCCAACGATTTAGGAATTCAGCGGGGCTGGAGTGGTTGAAAGGCAAGCAGGCTACTGAAACGATAGAGGAGGAAAGAGGGCTCTTAGGCAAGAGGCGTTTAGGATCGTTGGGATCCGCTCGAGAGAAGGTTAACGAGGGGGGACCACATCCAGGCATATAACGTCATTAAGGGAATCGATAACGTGGAGTGTGGCAAGTTTTTCTAATTTTACGGGAGCAGCAGAGCGAGAGGGAACCAATTCGAGTTGGGCAATCCCCAGCGAGATTCTGGTCGCGGAATTTCCTTTTCTTCTTTGGGGGAAGCGAACGCGTTAGGCCTAGATGTGAACGCGGATTGCCCCATCCGTGACTAGCCTTCAGAAGAAGTCAAATGCCTTCATAAACGGAGCAAAAAAAGGGCGCAATATAGCTGTAAGTGATAAGGAAGCGGGGTGTGCTCCCGCAAAAATATATATATTTAGAGGGGTGGGCCTATCTTATGCAACCGTTCGACCTTGACACGGGATGTCAATACGAACCGTATTGACATCCCATGAGGTGGTTCCTCATGCGGCAGTATTTACAGCAACCACCTGATTATCCGCCTGTTTCTCAAATGCCGTAGTTCTTGCAGCCATAAGCATTGCGTGGATGGAAAAAGATGGAGGGAGCACGGGAACTCTGGGAAACTGTTCTCATGCCTCTTTTCCCTCTTACTTTTTTCCTTCTTTTTTTATCTAAGTGGGGGGGGGGGGGGGCACGTGCCCCTCTGGACCCAGATGCTGCCACTTTTGTTCTGGACTCCAAGGAACCCCCTTCAGCAATGTTTCATTTTCTGCCACGCTGTAATAAAGAAAACGAAGCCTAATTTGCACGTGCTGGATTTGGGATCTCGCTGTCAGGAGGATATAGTGCTGTTTGTGAAATAGAAAATAATGTATCAAACCTAGAAAGACACTTTCAGATGAGCCACATGAAACGCGAAACGGTTGGGACATTTCTGAGCCGAGAGTTTCTCTCAAGACTTACGAAATGCGCAGCACGGTACTTCAAAATATGTTAAGAAGATGGCGCTGATGTATGGCTGAATGTCATGGTCCAACGACGGTCAGCCATCGATGATCGTGCATTCCACTCACGTCCCTCTATCGTTCATGGCCGAACACTGTACATACCTTTCCAATACTTTAAGGTTCAAGGTTTGGGTTAGGATGCGAAGAAGCATTTGTGCCCGAGTCGAAATCGAGCGCCCATGATAACCATGAGGCACAGGTATAATTTGAGAGTACTCGTTTGGGCCCCTCGCCAAGTGTTTGCACTCGCTGGCATTCGCTAGCGAGAACTCTTGTGTAATTAGGGTTGCCACCCGTTCATAATTAGTATGGGCAGTACATATTTCAGATTCTATGTCCGGTGTCCGGTCAATTCCCCGACAGGACAGTTCCCCGAATGACAAATTCCCCGGACGGTCAGTTCCCTGATCACGTTCCGATTTTACGGTTGCGGAAGGAGGTCTATCGACCGCATCCATCTCCTTCATGTCTAGGAGTCGATTCACGCCCTTGTTTGTTTCTGAAGAGCTACAATGACACAAATAACAGAACAACTGTACTTGATAAAAGTTTTATTTTGGTTTAATGGTGAAAGGTCTACAAATGAAATGTTTTCTCTTCCTAGAAACTCATATTATAGGCAACACTACGCATCAACTCTTGTAGGTCGTCTGCAGTTGAGTTCTGAATCCCTGCGTATCTTTGTACGAGGGTTTTCAGACGTCGATCTACGTCCAGGTACTTCTTCCTTGGAGGAGGGGGAGCACCAGCGATTCGCTGGACTTTGTACGAGGGTTTTCAGACGTCAATCTACGTCCAGGTACTTCTTCCTTGGAGGAGGGGGAGCACCAGCGATTCGCTGGATGATGCTCACTTCGTGCTTATTGTTCTCTTGCTGTAGTCTCCTAAGATAGGTGAAGGAATTCAGGTGTAGTCTGTCACAGTTTTTTAGGAAACTGGAATGGAAGCCTTCCACAGCATTTGTTGTATGTGGAAGGTCCTGCAGGACACGATTGTAGTTGTTCCAGAGACCTGGTTCGAACAGTGGTGGTATCTGATGGCTACCTCTCGTCTGATATAATTATCTTCAAAGTAGCTCAGTACAGGCAGTGCTGTGTTTGGCATGGTGGCTACAAGGTCATTGAATGCATCTTCCACCTTTGCTGGTGGCACAAAGCTGAGTGCAGGAAGGGACTTCATTTGCAAGCGAAATTCAGGATCATTTTCATAACGTGGCTTCAGACAAGAATCTTGAATCTTTCTCCATACGCTTTGCACAAGATGGAAATGACAACTGTGCAACTGCACACCTGGAAACCAGGGCATTCTGAGCAGCCTTCTCGAAATCAGTTGTAACCCTCTGGGGTGCAGCAATTCCATGCTGAAAACGAAGGCGCTCCAGCATCCTGGTGTACAGTCACTCATCTTTCCCTGGTAGAAGAGTGTATACAAGTGGGATGATTTCTCCATGAAAACATGAAAACACCTGTGGATGCTGTACATCTGCATGTATTGCCTTGGAGTTGTCTTGAAAGTGCCATCCATGTACCAATCTTGGCATGCGGATAAGAGCTGCAAGTTCTCAGTAGTTGAAAACAGGAGTATCTGGTCAGCATCTTGGCTGTCCCACAATAAGAAGCGTTGTGGCACTGTAGAGACGGTGTTTTCGTACGCAGTCGGAATCACAATCTGAGCTCTTGTTGGGGGATCATTGGGCACATTCTCCTCCCGATGACCTGTCGTGTGAGTAACTTTGCATCTAGAAGGGCTACTTGGGCCTCGGTATTCAGTCCCATCAAATTCGCCTGTAGAATCTGCCCTGGAATGATGCGATAAGAGCAATCAGTTTTTGCCATTGGCTTGCTTCAAGGCTTCTAGTCATTTGATAAAACTAAAGTTTCATACGCAATCCCTACAATAAACAGATCCTGATAAGTAATATGAAAGCATACTTGAAATGTACAATAGAAATTAAAAATATTTTATCTTCATATTAATCCCATACGTATTTGGCGTATCGATATGGAAGTATTTGTGAAAGAGACATTGAATTATGAATTTTTCTTAATTATTAAATGATTATACACTTGTGACCTCGACACTGCGTGATTGATTCCTTTGAAAAGGCAGGATAATATGTTCAGAAATGGAAATTAAATAATAATACACATGCACTATGTTATTGCACTAACCTTTCTTCTGTTGCATGGTCTTTGCATCATTCATGATGTTTGTGATCGCCTTGCAGACTTGTAATTTTCCAGGTTCTGGAGCATGATGATGTTGCCCTTGCCTGCTGACAACCTGCTTTCCTTCAGTTGTAGCTCTGAAATTGCAGTTTCCTTTGTATCTTCTATAGAGGCACTCCCAATATGTTCTTCGTCTGTCCTTGCTGATATTGTTCTGTAATGTTGCCCTTGCCTGCTGACAACCTGCTTTCCTTCAGTTGTAGCTCTGAAATTGCAGTTTCCTTTGTATCTTCTATAGAGGCACTCCCAATATGTTCTTCGTCTGTCCTTGCTGATATTGTTCTGTGTGAGCAGATAGCCCTCAAGAACAATAAGATTCTTGCCCTTTTCGCTCTTCACGAACTCTCACACCATCCAAGCACTGACCACTTAATGATCTGATTCCTAACCCACCCAACTTCTCCATATATAGCCGCGTTTTAGATTTTGATAGACATCTTGTTGATCGTCTCATCTCTGGTGGCTGAGAGGATTGACTTTCCCCTTTCCTTCTGTTTGCCTAGACCCCCCTGGGCCCTTTGGTTCCAGCTCGGCAGGGGGGCGGTCGCATCTCCCTCCCCCCCCCACTCCCCCATGCATGATGTGCGAGACAGGAAACTAAATGGGAACAAATCCATTTCCTATGGGGAAATCCCAAATGGAGAATTGACAGGGAACCAATCATTTTAAGGATAGGTTCTACAATAGAGAGGAACAATAGTGATTGGATGTTGAGGACATGAAATGTTATCAATGCATCTTGTCATAGCATTTTGGTGTTGAGCAAGCACAGTGAAATTGTAAGCAAATGTTCATACTTTTATATTCCACATCCTCCAATACATAGTAACAAGAATTGCAATAAAAACATGAGACAATGGCAGCACATATTGCACAGCATTCCTGTGACTAGCTTGCTGGGAATAAACCAAGCATAGGGATCAACCTAAGCTAATCCAGGTAATACAGGTACCTATACCTGCATTATTCTCACTTGAGCTGCAAAAGCATGAGACCTGGATTTTCCAAGTAAGATTTGAAGAGATTTGAGAAGCGGGCCATTGTAGCCCCATCAATGACCCGATGGTCAGCTGACCAGCTCACATTCATGATGTGAACCTTCTCAATGTTCCCATCTACACTGAACCTTGGTAACACCTGAAACATACAATAATTCATCCAGAATAGAAGCATAAAGATGACATTTTCAAAAGAAAATTTCTCTCTTAAAAGATGGAAATAGGGTATATTCTGAAGATTTCATAACTACAGCTTTTCAAATTTTTATAGACTAGGTTCTTGACATTTTTTGGCTGCGACCCAAATGCTAGCTCGGCATGGTTATTATAAGCTTAAAATCCAGACTGCCATTTTTCAGCATTTAACAGACTGATAGGAGGGAAGACATGTTTGGGTAGCATGAGTGACCTAGACTTTAAAGGAAAGTTCAGACAGTCACTGGAGACCCTTGGCAACCCACTCAAAATGGCTTGGCCCAAATTGGGTTGCGACCCAGGGGTTAAGGACCACTGGACTAGGGTATATTAACCCTTTCAGACCCTGCATCCACTCCAGTGGACATCATATTTCCAATGTTTCTCTTACACTTTCTTGTGATTCTCGCGGTATTGTGCCCATAGTCATTGGACACTATTCTGCACACATAAACTCTATAGGAAGCCCTCTCTAGGCTGTCAGTTATATAATATGTGGCTATATAATTTTATACAGGGTGTTCATAAATTCTGGTAACCACTTTGAAAATTTATAGTGGAATACCTGGTGATCATAGAATATCCATACAATGCACACACACATTACTTGAGATATCAATGGGTTTTTTTTCATGGCATCACTGTAGTTCATATTGCAGCCACAGTAGTGCTAAATGCAATAATGTTCAAAATGGCTACTCCAATAAGGAAGGAACAATGTATTCTCTAGTTTGTAGCGTTACAGTCTGTGATTGCAGCACGGCGAGAATTCAGTTGAGTATCACAAGAGCCACCAGAATTCCTGTACACCCTGTATACATGACAGGATCTTTCACTGTCCTTTCTCTTAACTCTCTTAAGCATTACCCCATATCTAGGCCAATTTTCAATAATTTAGCATTATTTAGGTCTCTGTTCTGTGTTTAGAAACTGGGAATTTTCTGCTTTCTTTTCTGTGTGGTTTTGGCCACAATCGGCACCAGCAAGTAACTTATTTTATTATACACAGGGTGGGGCAAATGCCAGGGATTATAGGAGTTTTGGGGGGATTTAATTCTCCTTTCTGTCAAACTTTTCACTAATGCCCACAGCTCTCAACATCTCTCGCATTGATTGTTGCAGCTGTGTGCACACTAGGTCCAGATTGCTGTTCGGTCAGCTTCTTTTATTGGGCCCCTTTCTTTTGTTGCATTGAGAACACTGCTGGTTGCCCCAAAATTTGCCATTTAATCTGAAATTCAGTGGATCAACAGTCTTGGTTGATTTGGCTGTCTTTCATGGCAATCACACTAGTTTGCCAAAACTGTTATCTGTTTTGTACAAATCATAACCAACATCACTTGTTTCTCAGTTTAATAACCATTGTTTGGGTATTTTAGCAATACTCAGTCAAAAAATCACTTCAAAATGTTTGTCAGATTATGGTAAAATTGTGCACAATCTAGCATGGAGGTTGCCAACATGAACAGCAATGGTAATGACACATTATCACCAAAATTGCCATACTTGTTCCAAATGAGTAACGGTTGTTTATTTCCAGCCAATTCTAGTGGATATAGCACTCTTCACTGGATTCAAATTATTGTATGCCAAATTGATGAAAATGAGATAGGTCATCAAGCAGCCAATTGGAAACCTAAATTCCCCAAAAATTCCTATGTTCCCTGACTTTTGCCCCACCCTGTATATGTATCATGTAAAGGATACTTATCAACACAGAGGCAGGTCCTTGAACAACTACAGCCCAACAACCCTGGGAATCCTCTAACAAGCATATTGAAACTATTGTAAAATGCCAAGCAGACAAGGGGCTATGGGTAGAAGAATATGAAGGAAAATGTACTATAGCACTAGGCTAGGTTTTTGATGCTGTATGACCAGTTTCATTGGGTGTATTCCAGCCTATAGCATCAACAGCTATTTCAACCTGTTTCTGGGGTCAACCAAACATGCCAGGAATATTAGATAAAAATTGGAAGTACTCTCCATTCCAAGGACAACTCTAGGTGAAATCCCTCTGTACATGCCACTGCTAATGATTGACTCAAAATGTCTCACAGTGTTCTCTACTTTAAATAACAAGCAATAGGCCAAGCAGCTGAGAGATAATATTCAGCATGCACAGAAACAATGATGCTCAAAATGTGGTGAGGGGAGCCTTATTCCCACATATGACCATCTGTAGATTGATCCACACCCATGACAAAAATTTGCTTCTTCAGAATTTAAAATCATATTCTGATAAACTGATTTATTTTGAACATCAATATTAACAGAATGAGTGAAGGGATCAACAGTATGTACATGAAAAGCTTAAAAAATAAAACATGTTTAAAGCCCTCAAGTAGGTAAAGTCCAATATAGGGGGCAAATTATCATATTTCATAAGTTGCACTTTTCATGGGAAGTGCTGGAAGGTTCGTGCTAACACCACACCTAGGCATCACAACCTTCCTAATTTTTTTTAGATAGTTAAAAATGCCATCCCATTCCATGCAGTGTTCTGGGCAGGTGTTAACAGCACCATCTCTTACTACCTTTCTATGCACATTCTTATTCCTTACAAGCCATTCAAACATGAAAACATATGTTAAAAACACAGAACAGGATTGAATGAATATCTGCTGTGTCTGGTCATTTGAAAATAATATTAATTGGATTTTCTTTCTAAATAAATTGCTGATGAGCAAAAGGGTATCGTACAGATGTTTTACAATATGTTTTCCAGGTTTTCATCTAATTTACTTCATGAGGTGAAAGGAAAACTAAATGTATCTGTTACAATCCCCATCCTTTATAAATTTTACCCTACAATGCATGATTTTTCTAACTGAACCAAAAACGTTTTTGATGATTATATTTTTTCATGTGGTTGATGAGAAAAATAATGAAAAAATTATACTTTGACTACAATACATTTCAATGCAAAGCAGAGTGTGCCATTTCTGGCACTCCATGCAGTGTAGGGTTAAAATTCTAAAGATTGCTGAGAACATAGCCAGGTGCAGTACATATTTTGGGGAGCAGCAGTTAAAGTGAGATAGATGGATTCAAAATAGGCTTTTTCTTCATTACAGCAAAGAGTGCAGAGGAAAATAAATAAAAGGCTCCTTACCTGGATTTTTCCTAAGGCCCCAATTGCCACTTCGGGTGGTAAGATTATTGGCCTTGCATAAGTTCCCCCAATCTGAGAATGAAATGATTTGCCCTGTTATGGAAGATATTGGGAGATACTTCCTCAGATAGATAATGAGAAGGAATAGACTCACAGATCCAATGTTGGATAGAGAAAAGGTGCCACCAGAGAGATCCTGTGTGGTGAGAGAGTTCTTAAGTGCAAGGTCCTGTAGTCTTCTCATCTCTTGAGCAATCTCCATTACACTTAGAGATTCCACATTTTTTACATTGGGGACAAGGAGGCCATCAGGTGTGTCAACTGCAACACCAATATTATGGTTCCCTCGATAGGTCATCATTTCGCAATTTTCATCCACGGTGGCATTAAGCCGTGGGTATTCAAGTAGAGCCAGAGACACAGCCTTCAAAATAAGGGGCATGAATGAGAACTTGATGCCCCTCTCAGCACTATGTTTGTTCATCAAGTGCCTCAGGTGCACACATTCAGTCATGTCCACCTCATCAGCATATCCGAACAGTGGAACCCTCTGAAATCACACATTTTCATTTTAAGAATAGAAAATGGTACTACAATGGAATTTCAAAGAGCTGGAAGTATGCACTCACACTGGCCACAGTCATGGTCTTGACCATTGCCTTTACAATGCCCTTTATAGGAATGTGCTTATCTTCAAGTTGAGGCCTTGTCACAGGTGAATGAGTAATTGGTGGAGGGGGAGCTTTCCGTTCCTTATCAGGAGGAGGTGGTGGTGGTCTTATTTCCTGCTTTGGTGGCTTCTTTTCCCCCTTCTCACGCTCCTCCAAATATCGCAAAATGTCTTCCTTTGACACCCGGCCATCCTTACCTGTCCCTCTCAATGAAGACAACTTAACCTGCAATAAGAATAGTTAAAATAGGAGCCACTTCCTTAATTTAAAAAAAAGAGTATCCTCTGGAATACTGGACCCACATTATGCTCAGCTGCAAGTCTTCTCACAGAAGGAGTGGCCAATACTTTCTCCTCTGGTAGTTTCACCAAGTCTGAAGTTGTTCCCACCTTGACACCTTCCTGAACTGTGACCTGGGGCTCATGTTCTGAGAACAAAATATCCCAAGGGAAAAGATATTACCCCATCACCAAGACAATGTAAAGCAAACAAAAGCCAACCTTAGCTTCCTAACCTTGACGGCTTTCCTCAATCTCAATATCTACTAATGGCTTGCCCACTATAGCTGTATCATCAACATTGTAGTGAAGTTTCTTCACAATCCCATCATATCGACTAGTGATGGTCACAGATGCCTTATCACTCTGCACCTCACAGATGCTGTCGAACTGGGCCACTTTGTCACCCTCTTTCACAAACCTAGATAGCAGAAAATGTCCTCATTAATAGTGCAATTACTGGTAAGCATGGCCAGGATCTTACCATTCTTTGACGACTACTTCTCTGATTCCTTCTCCAATGTCAGAGAGATTGAATGGCACTATAGTAGCCAACTGGATTGGTGAGCATTGAAAACCTCTGGTCTTTCCCACTCCATGATAAAAGTCCTGACAGAAGTCAGGTCTCTGGAATGATAGGCCTAACCCCAAACTGAATTCTGAAACCTAACAAAAAAACAGTCAAACCCTGAAAAAGCGAAAGCCTAAAACTTATCAGTACATTAAGTATTTGAGATGAGTTACCTTCTTCCGTTGAGAAGTAAGCGGCATTGAGTAAGCAGCTCTCCATCTGTGAAAACTTCTTACATTAAACCTTGTCAAAAATCTCGAGCTGGAGCCCAAAGTCATTCCAATTTCAGTGGTAATATCACGTAGTTGTCTGTCTCACAAAACTTATAGGCCAATAAAAAAGGTTAGGTCCATTTTTATGCAGAGGCTAATGAAGAAAGAGAAATAAAGCGGACATAGACATGAAAATGTAACATGCCTTGCTACTTTAATCAAGTCTTGACATTTAACCATTTTGAAGCCTTTTCGCAGGGGGGGGGATCGTTTAGCTTTAGACCTATGAAATTCATGGACAGGCCTACCAATCTGGTAGAGTTATATGTTAGGGCCAGACTGCTGGGCATGGTGTATCATTGGTATGTTACGATGTTACGAAAACTCGGCAAGGGTTCAGTCCACATCCCATTCACGATAAGCAACGTCATAGTAAAGGACATGGAAAATAATTCCTGATGTTCAGAACGTGTTTGAATGGGGGTCGCCATGACACCTGGTCCGTGTCACAAGGACGCCAAGAGTTTAACTGGAAGATGAAGTGGTTTTCTGATCAATTATGTTATGCCTTTTTACTTATTATATTTGTTCAAAAAAATAAAGCCGAATATCACATAAGGGGGAAGACATGCTTAATGACGAACTGACAGCACGGCTTGAAATGATGCATTCATTTAAAAGAAATCCCGGCATCACTCTGAATCAGCATGGCCACGCACATGGTATGGCGTCTTCGATTCCTATTGGGAAGCCAACGTATAATTTCTAACATGTTAAACACTTTCGGTCAGACGTAGAGTCTTTGGCATAACTATTATACAGCCTATTTTTAGGCGATTATGGTCCTTTGGAACCAATTTAAGACTCCATATGTAGGTTTCCTCACTTGTAGGCAAGTTACGACCGTCCGCATTAAACTGTAGATAAACTCTGGTTTTATCGCTTTTCGTCTCCAGTTGCAGTTAATGGAAATAGCTCCTAAACTAAACAGAAGCTGAAGTATGGGAATTCTCGGAAGCTGCAAACAGTTCATTGATTTCAGTCTATCAATTCTTCTAAAGGAGGGAAAGAATATGCCTTTGTAGGCTTGATTTATTATATAGAAATTATTTTTAACTATGGAATAAAAAGTTTCGCACGAATTTCATGGTTTTTAAGGGTGCTGAATTGCAACATCTCAGACATGCATGATTGCAGCATTGAAAGCCCCTCATTTTCCTGCTAATGAACCTTCATAAATAGTGTGCAAAAACTCAAATGAACATTCTTAGGTAGAAAATAGAGGGATTCAGTTTCCCGAATTTCCATGGAATTTAAAGGCTCAAATTAGCCGTTATTAGAAATATTGCATAAAACGTGTAGCACGTTAAATCTGAAAATACAGTGTTTCACAATTCATCTAGCACTTTGATGAGTTAGATTCCTTGGTAAGCTAGAGAAATAGGCTACTTTTCAAAGTAACCATTTCATCTTTGAATTTCTGTCATTCACTGTCAATAAAATTTTCTTGGCACATATTGGCTGAGAATTGACTGTTAAGCTTTTATAAGTCATGCCTCCAAAGAAGTTTTGATATTTGAAAAAGGAAAAATATATCCTCCATTCTTTCTATTTCAACCTTTGAATGAAATTGGAAGAACTTCTTGTTCTTTATTTTTTATTGTACTAATATATGAGGGATAGCCCAAAAGTACCTGGACAGATTTTATTTTCTTCAAAACTATTCAAGACATACCCATAAAATGTGTCACATTCATAAGCAATGCTTTACAGATGCATTGTTGTCATGATAAGTAATGGTGATAAGGTGTGTAATATTTGGTGATTATATATTTTGTAGTTTTGGAGAAAATAAAATCTGTCCAGATACTTTTGGACCATCCCTCATATGCTTACCCTATTTTGTGATAACATTGATATGTCAGCAGGAGTAGCATGACCTGTACTTGTGGAAAATTATTAGCTTGGCCAATTAGTGCCAAGCATGGAAAGCCTCCTTAAGCTGTCATCATCAGTTATCCTAATTCAAGTGATTACTTAATTTTCGTACCCTTGATCTGGGCTCTAGATTCACGCATTCAACATTGGGAAGAAATTGCTTAATGAGGAGGGTATTATTACTATGGGAGCACTGTGATTGCATGCTTCAGCCTGGGTAGCTTCCTGTTTCAAGGGTTGTTGGTACCCCTCATCAATTTTTTTTTTTAGCATATGCCTCTAGCTAACATTGAGATCCAATTTTTTTGTTATATTTGTTGTACTGACTCCTGGCCTTTCTTCATATGCCTTCAATTAACCTGCAAGTTTCTTTACAGGTGATTGTATAATATTGTGGTACCCAGCCATTGATGTATTTGGTAATTGTACAGACCTTGGCCAGATATTACTGGGATACATGACTGCAGAGAATAGATGAAGGATTTCTGTGGCTTTTGGCTCTAACTCCACATTTCATAATCTCTTCCTGATGCTAAATATGGAACTGTCTTCCGTTGGAGAAAGTGTGTTTGCTGTTGAGGGCATCTTGAAAAAGAGGATCCGTAAGGTTAGTATTCTGAGTTTCTAAGTTAGCATCCTCTCTATAGACTTACCTTACTTGGTATTATACCTAGTCTTGCCATAAATACTGTTACAAAGTTTTTTTGTAATATCTCTTTTCATATAAAACATATGCTGTATTTGCTGACAGGATTTATTTCCCTACATAATTACGAACAAATTACAGAAGCATTATAAAATATGTCCACCCCTGGCCTTCACACATGACTTTAAACGATCAGACCACTCATCCATCGCAGTATGCACCACTTCCATTGGATATTGGCTGCTGATTTTGCAAGGGCTCACTTGAGACTTTCAATATTTGGATGTCTTCTGTTGTTGGCCATCAGATCCAACTCTGCCCACAGTTTGTTGTCCAGTGGGTTCCCAGATGGCCAATTGGAGGCCTTGATGAACTCGGGGACGTTGTTGGCTAGCCACTCCTGCGTTGTCCTAACCTTGTTAGCAGGTTCGGAGTCTTGCTGGAAGATCCAGTTGCCCCCATTGAACATTGTTTAGCTGAGAGGCTTCACTGACTTCTCTAAGACTTATTCCTAGTACACTTTCGCTGATGTCTTCACTTCTTGCTTGCAAAAATACAGCTTGGTGACACCCTCATAACTCACCCCCCCACCAAACCATGACAAGCAGTATGGTGACCTCTCTTCACCTTATGGATGACTTCTGCAGCTTCCCAAGAGTTGTGGGCATACACTTGACCATTTGGCCAGTTGAATTTTTCTTCAACAGTGAAGATTTTCTCATCAGTAGAGGATTTTGTGGTGTCTGTTTTGCGCGTACCTCTGCAGCAGCACTTTCGATCGCAACCTCCTGATATCTTTCAGAGATGGAGTCAGCATGTGTCCTGTGCTTCTTCAGTAAGCACCCATCCTTAGGTCTGATTTAATCAACTGATACATGCTTCTAGTTGAGATGGCCATTTCTCTGGCCATCACTTTCTGCTTGCATAGAGGATTTAGCTGAATCGTGTTGCTAACTTCTTTGGTGACTCGTGGTGTTCTGACAGTGGGTGGACATCCAGATCTAGGGCGGTCTCGTACTGAGTATCATTGTAACATTTGATAGCTCGGTTAACAAACTGCCGACTGATTCCAAATGGCTGCAGAGGCTTGAAATAATTGCAGGTTTCTGACCCACTTTGTGCAGGGCAATCACTGCTATGCGATTCTCTTTGTCACCCCAATCCATGTTTACTGCATGCAACACAACAGCCAAAATGTTACCAAACAATACGGTGGATAATACACTGCACGATTACTAGGTTACAAGTTTCTAGCTCCTTTTGCTAGAATGCAAGGAACATGTAAATCTTGTAACAGTATTTATGGCAGAACTAGGTAGTGTTAAGTTAAAGATAATGCTGTTTGTGCTAGATCATTGAGAAATGTGTAGTGCCATTGCCATCACTTTATCTTTCCTCTACAGGGGAAAGCAGAGTACTTGGTGAAGTGGAAAGGCTGGTCCAACAAGTGAGTAATATCTTCATATCTCTCCTAAAAAATAAAATGTAGAGAATGGATCAAGAGATGGGAGAAATGTGGAAAGAGATATATAGGCCTAGATCTATTATGGGAATGTTACTTATGCCCTAAGGTGATGCAAGGAAATTACTCCCCTCACTCTAGACTGTTTCTGTGTCTGACCTGCAAGCTGTATGTTGGCCACCCTTGGCCTAGATTGTTTCTTTCTGGACTTCTTTTTATCACAAATTCACTAATATATTCAGCATATGCAGGTAATTTGCAATTTGCATTTAAATACACCAAAAGTCACAAGAAAGATAACTAATGTTTGCATGTTTCTTGACATTTACTAGCTCAAAATATCCCTCTTGTGAATGAGAGAGGTATTGTTAATTTTTTTACATGGAACCTGATAATTTTCAAAAAGGAGGGAATGGGTTTTTGAAAAATGCAAAATATATGGAAAGCATTTAACAAACAGGATGATAAAATTATGAATAGCCTCTTTCAGATGGAAAAATATTTTTCAGTTAATGTTAGATGAGAATTGTGACTTAGGGAATTAAGTAAGAAGCCAGTATTCCATTGAGCTTCATGAATTTCCATTCTTCCCAGAACTTTGGCCTCCTCTTGCAAGGAAAGGAGCAATGCTCAGATGGTTTTATCATTTGGCCTATGTGAATCACTCTACTGCCCAGATTTTTTGTCTCAACTGAAAAAAATTTTCTCATTTCCTTGTGAAAATTTATCAAGTAAACCACATGTACAAGGTATCACTGGAATTTTAAATTTTCTATCTGAAGTTTCTGGCAAAAAAGTTGGCACTGCCATCAACCAAGAGAAATTGATGTTGGAATAAATGCTGGAGAAGCTTTCTTTCTTCCTCCCCTGGCTCTCTATTTCACTTAAACTCTACCACTCCAATCTCATAAAATATGACTTTCTTCCCAGTTCATGATTACCCCTTTCCATAGTGATGTTTCATTTGGAGTTTAAAATGTACATAAATCATTGGTGGTTTGTAGCAGTGCCTGTGGCAAGGATTTCAGGGAATTAAGGAAGTCTAATTGAAAGAAACATTTTCATATACAGTCTGGGAAGCAGCAATGGGCTTTAGTTACAAGTGCATTTTGGTTGGAGTTTACTGCTCCTGAGTATTTCATTTTTTAAATATTTGTGAAAATTGTATATTGTGAATTATGTGGTGTGAAGATTTGGAAAAATTATTATTGACATGTCCTATACATAAACTATTGATTTATATGGATTCAAGCAATGGTTTTTTGCTTCTTGATTGCATAATGTGCAATAATATTAGATTCTTCAGGTAAAGAAATTGCCATATGTATTTTGTTTTTTTGTTTTTTTTTTTTACAAATTCAAGTTCTTCTGCTGTTTTCCAGAACTTCAGCTAGCCTTATACTCATGCATCCTAAACATCTTTAGGCTTACAACCTTCTCCATTCTTGTCCTCTTTATGTATCATCCAGTGTTTGCATATGCAGACACTGGATGTGCCTGCATATGCAAATGCATTTCCTCATTGTATCTGTGTGCCTGGTGATTGCCTCCTTGCTACCACCACATTAACACCTAATCTTAACACACTCTCCTCTTTTGTAAATACTTATATTCTTGACCAAGAATATAGTGTGCATCTAATCTAAACTTGCCCAAAAGAGTAACTATGTTCTCTGGCTTACTACCTAAGAAGTTGGCATTGTTTCTTCCCCATCCTGCAAGGAGAAACATCTGGTGAATCAGATACTTCTTTTGATGAGCCAGATTATCTCATACTCCAATGAATGATATTGGAGGATAAACATCCAGTGGGGATAGTGATTATGCCAATGCCAAGGTGGAAATTGATGACGAAGCCACACAAGGATCCAGCACAAGTGCTGGTTAAACACCCACAGCTCCCAGCTACAGCTTGCAATGGCAGAAGAGGAAAGTTCTGGGAAAAAAAAAAAACCTCTTTTCAAGAGCAAGATTTTTGGGGATGCATTTTCATCCTAGAAGACATGACTGAGCCTATTGATTTCTTCCTGAAGGTATTCCCTCTGAATTTAATTGAGCACATCACAGGGGAAACCATGTAATATCCTATCATGTCTGGTGACCATGACTTTCGCATGGATGATGTTGACATGTGAGTGTCTCTCAGGGTGAATCTTATGATGGGAATAGTAAAGCTCCCTCAATATCCTCTTCATTGGTCTGAGGAACATGGAACTCAATTGCCTGCCATAGCCAATCAATTGGCATTGAAACTATATAAACAGATACGGAAGTATCTTCATTTCAATGACAATGCACTGCAACTAGCCATTGGCTCTATGGATTTTGACAAGCTATATAAACTGTGACCTATCATTGATGAGTTGCAGAAGTAATTCAAAGCCTGCTGTGACTATGAGGAGCATCTTTCCGTTGATGAAATGATAATCCCATTCAAAGGTAGGCATTCATTGAAGCAATCCTATATGGTAAAATCATATATGATTTGATAAGAAATGGGCATATATGATATTATATGAACATATATTGGAAAATATATATGATATCTTCTTATTGAAACAATGAGTATATGATCATATATGGCAAGGCCATATGAGAATTTTATCAAATCCATGTATGCAAAAGATATGGAGGAACATATAAGATACTTGTATGACTTAGTATGCCTATCTGGTACATAGCAGCAGATATGTGTGTCACACCTGATAAGAGACATGACCAAATCTGGTATGAAACATACATCAAATCATGTTACTCTCATAAGTCTTTCCCAAATGTAAAAGAAAAAAAATTTGGAACTAAGCTAAAAATTAGAACTTCATGTCACTTTTGTGAAAATACAAAAACAATTCACTTCCAATGCATCATAAGTACAGGGCATTCACAAAGTCTTGTCACTCCTGTGTCATGTAGAAGTAATTTGCACTATATTTACATATGCTGCTTACATTAATGTACATATTTTGTTACATACTGGCTGCTGTGTTCTGCAATAGTGTAGTTGGTATCACACATTTTCATCTAATCTGGAAAAAAAAAGAAGAAAATCAGTATCTTACTGGGATGACAAGACCTTGTGGACACCTTGTACATCCCAAAGATATCCCAGAAATAACTACTAGGGACTTCTCAGTGATATCAAAATATCTGGGTGCCTTTCTTTCTGAAACAGACTCATTTCCTGCCCTACAGGACAACAATTTATTTTTAAAGGGTTGTTTTGTATGATGTTCTTCAACTGAAGATGTCTAAGAGACATCTCTATGAAGTCCTGACGATGTCCTTAAAATATCCCCTTAGGACCTTGGGACATACCCAGAATGTCATCATGCTATGTGGGTATAACCATACCATGTAAATTGAATACTGTACCTTATGCATATGGAATATATATTTCTAGTGATATATTTTGTTATGAAAGCATGCATGCTGAACATTTACATACAATAAATAAAATTCCTTTATGAAAATCATATACTTAAACCAGATGCATCATATATGCAGGAGCCCATCCCTCAAACCACATAATTATTTTATATAGAATATACAGGGGTCGCCCCAAAAGTAATTACTCCAATTTTTGTCCTCCTTTACCTTTAATCCTTAGTCCATGAAACTTGTACACATAATCACTTGGATTGTTGGGAACAATGTGTTATTTTCCCACATAATCACCATTTCTTTGACAACATTTCTGCCAGTGATGTTCCAGGGCTTGTATGCCACTATGATAAATAAAAAAAATGTCTGGGCCTGCTTCTGCATGGTTTCTTGAACTCGAATGTCATTCTGAAAGTGATGTACATGAGTAGTGTCCTTGACGGGGGCGAGTCCCAGACTGGAAGGAGGATGAGGAAAATGTCATCAAGCTGTGCAGAAGTAGGGCCAGAAACCTTTTACCATAGAGGTATACAAGCCCTGGAACATTGCTGCCAGAAATGTTGTCAAAGAAATGGTGATTAAATGGGAAAATAACACTTTCATCCCAGCATTCCAAGTGATCATATGTGCAAGTTTCATGGACTAAGGATTAAAGGTAATGGAGGAAAAAAACTTGGAGTCATGCGGGCAACCCTCGTATATGCTGCCCAGGTATGTTTAATATGTGAATAACCCTTATATGGATCATATGCTTCAAATATATATATGAATTTATAAGGCATAGATAATTGCATATAACTACCATATATGATCTTTCTGCATGAGATATATGGCCAAGAAACTGTTAAAATGGGGATACAAGGCGTGGGTCATGGCTGGGGTTTCTGGCTGTTAATCTCTTTTTTCAGTGTACAAGGGAAAAGTTGTGGATGAAAGGAAATTGGAATTTGGAGCTGGAGTCACAGTAGTTCTAAACTTTCTCCTAGAATTGATGCTGCTAAACAAAGTGTCTTGGACAGTTTTGTTTTTTTGCATTTTCAAACTTGTTGAAGAAATAACAAAGAGGAGCCAATTGGGAAGAAATAACAAAGAGGAACTGTTGGGGAATAAGGCATGTAGACCACCTACGGTGGACTGTGAGTTCAAAAAGCTAGGGAAGTCAAATCATGCATTGAGATGGACTCAGGTGTCTTAGCCATCAAATGGAAGGACAACAAAGACAACCACCCTTCTTTCCAATGTTATGTTGGGATTCAGCCAATGGATGAAGTCACTCACTGGGATAAGTCCAAGAAAGAGAGGATCTCAATCAAACATCTTGCAGCAGTCAGGCCATACAATCAGCATATGGGAGGCATTGATAAAATGGTTATACTGATCAGCTTCTATAGAAATGGCCACAGTCCCTGTAAGTGGTACCAGCAAATTTTCTGGCCCTTACTAGATGTTACCCTCAACAATGCATGGATTTTTTATCAAGGAAAAATGAATGGAGGAGAAAGCTACATCACTGTTCCAAATCTCTGGAATTCAGGTCCATTGTATAGATCCCTCCTGAAGTCCTCTCAAAAAAACCCAGCGTGACCAGGGCAACCATCTCCAAAAATCCAAAGGCCTGATTCCTTGAAGCTGAAGTTCACTGCAAGGAGAACTAAATGTGCTGGTCCTTTGGTACTCTGATATTATATTTTAAAAAATTTTCCTATACCATCAAGCAAGTCCTTTGCAGACAGGTTCAAATACTGCACCAAACATGGCAATTGTGGACAATTGAAGTCCATGTGCTCAAAATGTCAAGTGGCTTTTTGCCAAAGATATTTTGCAAATTGGCACACCTAGGAGACTTGGGACTAACTAGATTCACTTGGCTATGAATGGAAGACTTTTCAATTCAGCAGTGGCTATCTCCCATGTTTCCATAAAGAATGAACTCTATATTCTGTTATGTATCTCTTCTTGCCTTCACTTGGCAATGTCTCCATTTGAAGACGTGCATTATGCAAGTAAGTGACCAAATCAAGGAAATGTTAGTTTAATCAGCATCTACTGACATTGAGCACATGGAAAACATTGTGTTAGATTTTTTGTTGCATAATTCCTTAATGGAAAGGGTTAAACAAGCATAACCTGTTTTTTATTTATTTATTAATTATATGGGCTGAGAATTAGAATGTCCTTGTAAAAATGAGGAAGATGAGGAAGAAAATATGCCCTTCCTTAAAGGAAGAAGGTAGAGTACTGGATCAGGCTTCTCAATTTTGTTAAAAATCCAGCATTTTCACATATGAATGAGTTGCTGGTCTTCATTGTTGTTTGATGCAGACATAACACATGGGAACCAGAGGACAACATCCTTGATGCCCGTCTCATTGAATCCTTCGAAGAGAGGTGAGATCTGGCCAAACTTCAATTACTGTGATATATCATTTGAAATGTTTCCATTGTATCGCAGGGTATGGTGAAGAAAAAAAAGACTGACTTTCAACATATGTATTTCTGTTCCAACCAAATATTTTCTCTTGAAACTTGTGCCACCTATTGATGGAAATATTTTCAACACATCTATGATATTTCAACCCAGTTTTTTTTTATACAAAAAGCTAGGTGATGAACAATGATTTTATAAGTTGAATATTGAGAATGGACAAAAGTTCATGCCAATAATGGACTGAATAAAATGCCACCATCCCTTGGTTGGATGTTTTCCAGGCTAGGCCGAATATATCCATTCATATTCCCTTCTATTCCAGCTGCCCTTTTTACTAGTGAATTTGATACATTTTTTTAATTATAAATGGCTACAAAGTAATAAGTATCAATACAGAGAGTTCACTTAACTTTTTTTTTGGCATTTTTCTTGGTTTACATGAGACTATGAAGCAGGCCAAGTCAAATCACTTCAAAGGGACTGGACTGTCATGTCCTTTTTTAATGTCTGATTTCTTATAAATTATTCTTATAAATTATTCCCTTACTTTGGCAGAATGCATTTGTATGAAATTATTTTGTCTATTGAAATCATGTCAATAAATGCATAGTGCAAGTTTCATGAAAATCTGGTGAAAGCAGAGATACATGGGTTAGAAGTAATTGGTTTTTAGGTTCTGCCATTCCCTGTATACAAGAAGAGATTCACCTTAATTTTCCTTTCCTAGCTTACGAGAGCACCCAGTGAGACGAGGACCAAAACCAAAGAAAATTGTGAGTTTAGTTTATTTTGAAATCTTATATTGCTATGAGCTCTCTCATCTTACTTTGAGATTGTTTTTTCATTCTTTAGCATTGGAAACAACGGGTTCATACAACAGATGGTGGAGCCTCAACTGCTGAAGAACCAGAAGTGAAAAGGCGAGCAGAAGTGTTGGATGAACATGGGAAAATTGGTGTCACCATCTCCAAGACTGCCAAGACACAAGAACGACAAGATGCTGGGAAAAAAAGTCCTCTTGATGACAACACAACAAAAGATGATGATAGGGAAGAGAAGAAAGATGAAGAGGAAGAGAAAACTAAAGTGAAGCAGGAAAAGAATGATGACCAAGAGAGAGAGACAGATGATACAGATGAGAATGAGGATGAGGATGATGATGACAATGAGGATGATGTGATCCCGTGTTCTGACTTCTGGGTGAAGCAGATGCCTACTGTAGACCAGGTTACAGTGACAGATGTGACATCCCGGACAGGTACAGTGACATTCAGGGAATGCAAGAAGAAGGATGGATTCTTCAAAGAATATACTTGACCTCCTCTACAACCATTCCCTGTGATGCAATCCTTTACTTTTATTAGGCATGCCCCACCCTCAGATCCTCAAAGAGGAGGAAAGCCTTTGCTTTCCCATGTATACAGCATTAGTTTGAGGAAACCCATAGAGTGTTTTTTTTTACTGGGTTAGTGATTTAAATATAACATTGAAGATTTGAAGTGCAGCATCAAGAAGAACCACGATAGCACTGAGAAGAAATTACACTCTTGGAAGAAAAGAAAAGGAGATAGCCCAATTCATTACTCTACCAGGCCTTCCTACCTTTTATGGTCATACCCAACATCACCTCTCTGCCTATCTCAAGAATGTCAGCAATATAAAGGATGCAATTTCCTTATCATTGAGGCAGAGTTCACAGTTTGTTTTGAAGTGGTTTCCCCTTCTTACCAGAGCCATGAAACTATAGTCTCATAGCTAAAGCGTGAAAACTTTCATTTTTTCATGTTATATTACTAGATCAATCAATTCTTTTTCCTTTGTTTTATTGCAAAAACTCTCAGCTGGACCAAAAAGTCTTTGCATTTTCATTTGAATGGCATCATCTCATATTTCCCTTCAATCTGATTTCTCAGTGTGCTGTGGGTAGGATGTGCTCATTCTTTTGCATCAAATGCAATATGATCTGTCATATTTCACACATTGGGATTCTTTACTGAAAACAAGGTTAGATTCATCTCATAAATGTTGGTCAATTTTAAGGAGCTGTTTTCTCATTGAAGTTCATTTCTTCATGTTTTATTTTTATATTTTCTCATAGACGAATCTTTCTTCAATCAATACCTCCTCTGAGGTTTGGAAGGATCTCAAGGAAAATTGAATTCCTGATGGATTTATGAACAATTTCTTTTTGTGATCATGATTGCTTCCTTTTTTTTTTTAACCTCTCAGGTATCTGTTGTGAGGTGCAAGATGTTGTATGTTATTCATCTTTCTTGCCATTTTGGTATTCTTACCCTGTGGAACTCACACACTCTTCAATTGGTTATTCCACTCAGATAAATAAGGCTAGAAAGAGGGATAATGGTCAGAGGAATTTGAAATCTGAACTTGTGGTGTCATATTGGTCTCAGCCCTCAGTACAAAAGCTGTAAAGAAATGTCTATATTTGACATTGCCATGCCTAGCCATCTCCTTCCTCCTATTCTTTCTTATGAGTTGGGAGAGGGCTTCCTTCTGGTTTCTCTTGCATCCCTTTTTTTTTTTGCTGCCTCTTGTTCTTTCAGGGATTCTATTCCAATCTTGCTTAAACCCTTCAAGCCAATAATATTAAACAGCCAATATCCCCTGTTGCAGTTCTGCACAACACCATGAGCATCAAGTAGGGGAAATTATCAATGGTTTGCTTTCTATTGGTGAGATTTAGCAGAAGTACATTCTCACACTGGGCATCTTAGTCACTTTTAACTCACAGTAGATATATCTTAGCAGACATCACAGTCATGTCAAGCCCACTCGAAGGGTTAAGGTGAAATTCCCCTATGTGGCTGCATCAGTCTGCATGAACTCCCTTGGTAGTAGTTGCCAAGAAATACTCTTTATGCTCATAGAACTTTGTAATTATTTCTTGCACTTTGTTGAGAGCCAATCAACTTATCAAACTTAATCTCCTGAATTGAATATTTTGAGCAGGAAGCAGTTTGCAGTGGAGGATTTGTGTGCTTTTTATTTATTCTTTTACTAGGATAAAACTATCTAAGTTCAGATAGTCCCTGAGTTCGGATACCATAAAATAAATTGTTATAAGACTAAACATTTACAAGGTCACCCTCAGGAACTGCTCTCCAAGCTGTGAAGAACTGTTTTGAAGGGAGAATTCACCAATGCTTGGTTTTGTAATGACATGTGATAATGTCCAAACTTAGGTACTGTCTGAACCTAGATGGTTTAACCCTATGGTGTTGATTCAGGCATATTATAATAATGAATGCCAAAGTCTTAGAAGAAACATATGTGATGTGATCACTGAAAGGAAGGCAGTAAGATGGAAAACTGGAAATACTATAATAGTGTCTAAATTTTATTAAATGTAATTCCAAGAAGGAGGGGCAGTGTGAGAGATGCATGCAACCCATAACCATGCATGTTTGTAGCCCAGATAGACTGGGACAGTAGTGCTGAAAGTCTGTCCCCCCCCCCCAATGCATTAAATAGGGGGGTATGAAGGTTACTAGGCATGGTGATGTCACCATTAATTATAAATCTGATTGCATCTCACTCAGATACCAGTTGCAAGAAGAAATCCAGTTTCACTTGATTCTTTGACACATTTGCAGTCAAAATGAAGGATTCCTTTCAATTTAGAAAGTGCACATTAACGTTGCCAGTGTTCTTGAAGAATTGCTGATGACCATTATGGTTAGGGATACACTGATTCTGATGTCAATATTGAGTGACAGTTGATCAATATTGTGAGAATCCATGGGGATGATATACCCCTACTATTCCATAGCAGGCCATGAATTTTGCCCCCTTACTCTTTCTAAACCAACTCCCAGGGAGAGCACTAGCCTCTCCCAAGCTCTTTCCTTCCAGCTATCCAACGTAGGCTGCAATCAGGACTTACTACATTCATAAAGCACCTTTCTGGCCTTTTTAAAATTGAGCCTGGATCAGTAACTGGCCTATACTTGATAAGTGTGCCAAATGGCACGAATCAGTGTATTCCCTACTGACTGTAATTATGTAGATGAAGTAATGCATGGTTAATCTTTAATTTCCCTTTGCCATATATCCATACAAATTTGTAGATTTTGGATCTGCATTGGATCATGTGATAATCTCTCATAGGCTTACTTTTTGTCTGGAATTATCAGTTGCTTTTTTTTTGCATTCTCTAACATGCAAGTTATGAGTTGTTACAACATACTAGAGTGAATACCAGGAAAATTCTGTACCACATTTCTTGAGTAGTTCAACAATGAATGCAGTCTTTCAGACTTGAAAAATGAAAAAAGTATTTCATAAAAGTGTTGAGTCCGTATCTGTCATTTCGTGCCCAAGGTTCAAAGTGAGTGGACTGCTTCAACTCCCAACACTAATTTTACTGTATGTAAATCTCTGTGAGTGTACTTTTCATATGTGAAAGTATGAAATGCTTTTCTATTCTGTTCCCTGTATCTCATTCTTAACCTTACCTGTCGGGTTAATGTAAGGATGTCCACTTCATATATGCATTTTCAGGACAGGATTTTGACCATTCCCTTCTTGCTATCGTGTCCACGATTATAGTTATTGATGAATTGTGTTGGAAGCTGCTGGTCCCAGCTCACACAGCCCAGACGGAAAACTGTGGAAGCAGGTCAACTGGCGCCATTAATAGAAAATTAATAATTTCTCTGGATGTGCATAATAAGGTATGAGGTCATCCTATGGCATCGAGATAAATGGGAGTCAAGGGGACACTTGTGAAGCAGTCTAGCATTAAGCCAAACACTTATTCAGCTTTTTCCAGTAACACAGCTGTTCGTTTTTGCTCAAACATTTCAAATAGCTCGTATTTCCTCTATTCTGCCATGGAATTTCTGTATCTGTGCAGAGAATGTTCGTACACTACTCGTGAATTTTTACAGTACAAACGCGAAGCGAAAATGACTTTTTTTAAAGAAAGCCAGTGGAAGATGCGATTTGCGGAACGACCAGGATCACAAATTGGGATGTGTTTTGCTTGAGTACGTGTTCTGTGGACAGCCTGATCACCCTCATTGCTCTGACTAGGCGGGTGTTTTTTAGTCGCTTCTGTTTGAGACCTTCCATTTGCGAGAACAATCACCTCACCATCTACAACTCCGCCTCAGCAACCATCCGACCCTGATAGTTCTGCATATCTGATCTTCAAATTTATTTTAAAATAAAATTTGTATGGAGAGGATAGGCTAGATTTCTGATAAAGTATAGAAAACTAGACGCCTTTCGTGACAGAACCAAAGCGTGATGTCGAAATTCAAGGTCACAGGGATAAAAAGAACGAAAGGCCGCCGAAGCATTCAGTGAAAGTGCTCTTCATGATGAAAGGAATGCAGAGACTTTATAACTTTCCTATGGCATTGCAGCATTGAAATGGAGCATCGTCATGGATACACCTTGAAGCCCTTCACGGATTTCTACATTCATGCGTGATGGTCGACACAGAATTCACCTTTTTCTATTTCTCTGTAGCATGCTCACTACTGTATCATCTCCCAAGCAATGCCTGGTTTTATACCTTTGTCTTGAGCAGTAATAGCGAAAGAAGGGTGGAGTGTAAATCTTTTCCAGAATTTTTTCGCCACTGCAAACAAATGACGAAATCCTCGGAAACGAAAGGAAATTTGTTGAGAAACATGGAACGACGTGTTCTTGATCCGTGTTTTGAGTATAAGAAATTTCTTGAAAATAATGAGACGATAACAAATGAGAACTTGAGTACCGGCTCAGGTACATTTTTCGCTTTCTACTGGTCAATATCTGGTATCCATAGACTCCACTTTACGATGAGATTCTACCAACCAAATATCTATGAAGGACTATATTTACGTTGTCGCGTACAACCGCTCTCCGTTTCTCATCAATGGATCTGTCAGCTGTGAAAGCTGGAAGGGAAGTGGGAACTCTAGTCGGTGACTGACACCCTGATCCAGGTCGAAGATTGCGCAAGCGTATCGGGTGGATAGCATTCTTGCTATGACAACGGTAGACAGACGGAATGTAAAATAGAGAAAAGGCGACAAACCGATCGCAGTCTCTAAGCACACGCAAAAAATGCAGTGTACCAAATGAGGAAAAAAAGAAAAGTTTCCTGGATCGCCTGGGCAACATGGAATAGTGTCATGAGCCTTGACACACTTAAGGGTGTCATTTGGCACGTCTTACTGCATCTGTAGACACATTTAAATGTGTCCAGCCTCGCGANACAGGGATAAAAAGAACGAAAGGCCGCTGAAGCATTCAGTGAAAGTGCTCTTCATGATGAAAGGAATGCAGAGACTTTATAACTTTCCTATGGCATTGCAGCATTGAAATGGAGCATCGTCATGGATTCACCTTGAAGCCCTTCACGGATTTCTACATTCATGCGTGATGGTCGACACAGAATTCACCTTTTTCTATTTCTCTGTAGCATGCTCACTACTGTATCATCTCCCAAGCAATGCTTGGTTTTATACCTTTGTCTTGAGCAGTAATAGCGAAAGAAGGGTGGAGTGTAAATCTTTTCCAGAATTTTTTCGCCACTGCAAACCCCCGTGAAGTGAATTTCAGGTGGGAGGGGATACGACAGGAGTTTGAAGAAAAAATATAATTTAAGGTCCGCACTCGACCGTGTTAGAACTCCCGCTCAGAAGCAACATGCTATTTGCTTTCGAATTTGAGTATTGAATGCCCGCAAAACTAAAATAGTCATGTCATAATCGTTTATTCGATTCCGCACCTCGGAGGCAAACGGACTGACGCCCTTTATTATTCAATAGATTTGTATCACGAGAGAAGACGCTATCGACCTTCCGGCAGGACGAAAGCGGTCGCCTGTTTAGTATCATTCCAAAATATGAATTTCGAAAAGGGCAATATTGGCAGAGCACTCAATAGAAAAAAGGGCTTTGGTGGAGCCTAGGAGAACTCTGAGACGCAACTGGTACAGTTTCTCCTATCGGTGAGTCCAAGGTAAGAGTCAGAGTTCCGCTATTCGCATAAGCACTCTCGCGATCGTGGCATGCCAGGAACAGGCGCGTTCGTTTAGGGAAACGAAAGATTCGACCTCCCGGCTCAGGATCTTTAGCAGCTCCTAGTGTCATACTACTTCTGATTTCAGCTAT